CTTCGAACAATTTGTCATTTGTTCATTATTTCTCTGGGCACATATGATGCCATACAATAATTTTTTCTACAATGCATCAGTGAGCTCTTCATATTGTTGGTCCAGAGGTCTTCGATGGAAAGTGAAATTATCGATTCTATTGGATTCAAGGTTTGCTACCCATTAAGTTTTTTGAACGCTTGCCGTAGCAAAGCTCAAAATACATATTATAACAATCAGCACAGAAAATTATCCCAAAAAATCGTGCTATGCTTTACTTATTTTGGTTCAAAATCTTTATCAAGGCCTTGAAATTATTTTATGTACATCTAGTGTTTAATTATGAAAATACTATTGGAAAATGATTAGTTAAAAACAACCCTCACATTGATTCAAAATACCATGTAAATATTGTTGTACAATCTATATTGTACAACAATATACAACAATTTGAGTTAAACACTCAAAGATTTAAACTTTCGAATTTCGCACGAAATATTATGTAAGTGGCCAAATATCTAAGGCTGTCTTGATTCATTTGTCATCAAAGTGATTGTGACATATTCCTCAATCACAGATTATAAAAAACACTTGCAACAAAAGTATTATTGAATCTGCTTTAATTGAAAACTATTTAAAACGTAAAGATCTTTTGTCCTTTGATCCCAGATCTGTTATATTTTTAAATGGTCGAACTGTATTGTTCAATACGTGGTAAATACCTCACTAGACATTAATCACCGTATTTGTGAGCACATAAGTATTTCTTACCGCACTGGTCTGTCTCGTAGACAAGGTCCACCATTCTTGTACGCAAGATCTCAGTGAGGAAACAGTCCAACCTTTCCCTTCCCGAGATTTCGCTGTTCTGTTCGCTAGTTCGTCCCGACTGGAACTCGACATTTTTTAAAAGTATCTTTCTGGCACTAGAACGAGACCCCGAGCTGAACGGTTCCGAGTCCTTGACTCCGTTGTTTACGCAACAAGTCAGCCCGTCCTCTAAACATAGATCCAAAAGTGATTTCATCCACCCGCCAAACCCCCGGTTTATGAATCAAAAACGGTTTACATACACGACTCAAGTGTTGACATTCGAACACTTCCGGAACAAGCGCTTTACTGACGAATTTGTTCGAACCACAACGCTGTAAATGCTTCACCCACGTACTACAAATAATCAACAGAACCTAAACACCTAACCTAACCTATGATTATATATCCACAATATGCTAATAATATTAATATTTGAGAAAAATCCTGTTTTGAATGAACAGCATGTACAAATTTATGAATGTGTCTGTGGGGTCGACCGCTGGATGTAATGAACTTTAGTCGAGGACAGTTGCCAAGTTGCCTTTCCACCACCGTCCATTGGATTGGTATGGGGTGCATAGTAATGAAATAGAATTATTTTATAATATGTCTAGTTTTTATATCTTTCTTGTATATATATTTGTACTGTATTTTGTAATATAACATACTTTAGGATTTGGTCAGTCCTTTTTAACCATTTAAGTAGATTTAAATTTCAACTGTATACATTTTGCAGCTAATCCTGCGTTGTCTTTTTAACCATTAACGATGGAGATTATTTTAAATTAACTAAAGATGTACATCTTTTCCCTTATTTTACTTTTCTTAAGTATATATATATATTTATATACACTTTTGTACAGTCTCCCAAATTAAGGTAAAGAAAATTAAAACATCCATGTCATAGAATTTATTAATAATGTCACATTAACAGAAGTGTAAGAACAGCAAAGTTGTTCCTCTTAAATGATGCAGAAGTTTATTATGATGCATCATATTACACGAAGATTTTATAACAAGTCCTTCATGGTACCCTGTCACCAACGGCTCTGTTTGTGGTGGACACGTTGATGTTCCACTCCCCCCTTGCCCTTCATCCACGGAAGTGGGCACTGGTAGTGGGCACTGGTGGTGGGCACTGCTAGTGGGCACGGTGGTAGTGGGGGTCAGCAAGAACATAATGGATATTTCCGTTATATATATTTATAAATAGAGAGCTAATGCACGGATCATCCGGGATACCTGTTTTTGTTGTTATAGATTCAGCTACAAGTTCCAAGTAGCACGGGCTATTATGAGCCCGTTGTGGACTTACCTGGCACAGAAGCGGGGCTGTCTGTGTGGCTGGAACACGGAACCCCAGACTTTATATACTCCTGCCGGGTCAGGTGTTGCCAACACCCGCTACCGACTAGTAGGAAAATTTTATATACGCAGTTTCCTATTTCGTAACATTTCAATAAAACGTAATATTTCTTCACAATAAGACTGCAAAATGTTTTAACTGTTCGTCTCGACATGTAGTGTTCGTGTTTGGATAATTGGTCAAAACGAAACCGCTTGTACAATCTATCTACAATTTTTAAAATTTTCTTGTCTGCGAATACAAAATTGGGAATAGAGTTTTTCCTGCCCTTGGACGACCTTGGGTTCACCAGAAGAACACACACACCAGTTGATTGACATTTGAGAGGCGGGACTAAAGCTCAACACCCGCAAGCACAATTAGGTGAGTACACTCCGACTGGTTTGGGTGCTTGTGATGAAGGGGGGGGGGGAGGGTGTCAAAAAGGAGGGGGACAAGGGGGGGTGTTTAAGGGGAGAGAGGGGGGACAAGGGGGGTGTCTAAGGGGAGAGGGGGATGAAGCTCCGTGTTTACCAGTTCAAACCCAATTTTCTGCAGCAAAGGTCACTCAGATTGGTTTATAACCTGCAGGAAATATTATAAAGTTGCATCTAATTGAACTATTTGTTGACGTCCGAGGTCCTCATGCTGACGTCAATAGTCATGCTGATCTAGAAGAGAGATTCGGCTCCAGTCTTGGTACGAGACATTAGTATGAGTAATCTCACATTTTTTTGAGACGTCGCAGCTAGAGCGCATGGCTCCCAAGATGTCACTTCAATGATAATATATTCTAAGAAGTAATGGCGCACGTAAGAACTTTTTGAATTTCAGTTTATCTGCCATTAAAGTTTAGGTGACATTACAATTATCTCCGAGCTTCTAGACACGTAGCTACGGCCGGATAAGTCTCTCTGATTGGTGGAAGTTTGAATCCCTGTTGTCTTATCAGTTCACCCTTGTTCATCCAAGGTTTGCTACCCAATAAGTTTTTGTACGCTTGTCGTGGCAAAACAACATATAAAACCCAGCACAGAAAATTATCTAAAAAAAATCGTGTTATGCTTTATTTATTTGGGTTCAAAAACATTGTCAAGGCCTAGAAATTATTTGATGTACATGTAGTGTTTAATTATGAAAAATCCACTGGAAAATTATTAATTAGAAAAAACTCGTCGCATTGATTCAAAATATTATGAAAATACCGCTGTATATTCTTTATAGGTTAAACACTCATATAAACTTTCATATTTCCCACCAAATATTCTGTAAGTTGCCAAATATCTAAAGCTGTCTTGATTCATTTGTCATCAAAGCGAGTGACATTTCTCAACCACAGATTGTAAAAAACACTTGTAAACAAAAGTATTATTGAATCTGCTTTAATTGAAAACTATTTAAAACGCAAAGATCTTTTGTCCTTTGATCCCAGATCTGTTATATTTTTAAATGATCGAACTGTAATGTTCAATATGTGATAAATACCTCACTAGACATTAAATACCTTATTTGTGAGCACATAAGTATTTCTTACCACACTGGTCTGCCTCGTAGACAAGGTGCACCATTCTTGTATGCGAGATCTCAGCGAGGAAACAGTCAAACCTTTCCCTTCCCGAGATTTCGCTGTTCTGTTCGCTAGTTCGTCTCGACTGGAACTCGACATTTTTTAAAGTATCTTTCTGGCACTAGAACGAGACCCCGAGCTGAACGGTTCCAAGTCCTCGATTCCGTTGTTTACATCATAAATCAGCCCGTCCTACAAAGACCCAAAAGTGATTCCATCCACCCGCCAAACCCGCTCTTTATGAATCAAAAAGGTTTACACACAACTCAACTGATTTCGTTCGAACACTTCCGGAACAAGTGCTTCGCTGCAGCCCGTCCTCCAAACAAAGATCCAAAAGTGATTCCATGCACCCGCCAAACCCCCTGTTTATGAATGAAAAACGGTTTACACACGACTCTCAACTGCTGACGTTCGAACATATCCGGAACAAGTGCTTCACTGACGAATTTTGTTCGAACCACAACGCTGTAAATGCTTCACCCTCGTACTACAAATACAAATAATCGCCAACAGAACCTAAACACCTGACCTAACCTAATCTATGCCTATTTATACACAATATGCTAATATATTATAATATTAATTTATAATTGAGAAAATTCCCGTTTTGAATGAACAGCATGTTAAAATTTATGAATGCGTCCGTGGGGTTGACTGCTGGATGTAATGGACTTGAGTCGAGGATGGGTTGTTCGCTGACGAATTTTGTTCAAACCACGACGCTATAAACGCTTCACCCAAGTAATACAAATAATTGCCAACAGAATGTAAACACCTAACCTATATATGCATAATTATTTTATAATATTAATTTATATTTAAAAAAAATCCCGTTTTGAATGAATAGCATGTAAAACAAATTATGAATGCGACTGTGGGTTCGACCGCTTGATGGAATGGACTTTAGTCGAGGACGGGTTGCTCTGTAAGCCTTCCCCCCCCCCCCCCCATGGGATGGGGTGCATAATAAAGAAATTTAATTCTGTTATAATATGTCTAGTTTTTATATGTTTCACACACACTTTATATAATATATATATATATATAATCTGTCTTTTTTTATAAAATAATTTAAGATTATACTTAGTCCTTTTTATTTATTTAACAAGATTTAAATGTGAACTATATACATTTTATACCTAATCCTACATTGCTTTTTTCTACTAACGATGGGATTATTTTAAATTAACTGAAGATGTATATCTTTTCACTTATTTTACTTTTTCTAAGAATGTATATATTTATTTACACTTTTGTACATTCTCCCAAATTAAGGTAAAGAAAATTAAAACATACATGCAATACGATTTATTAACAATGTCACATTAGAAGAAGTGTAAGAACAGCAAAGTTGTTCCTCTTAAACGATGCAAAAGTTTATTGTGATGCATCATATTACACGAAGATTTTATAACAAGTCCTTCATGGTACCCTGTCACCAACGGCTCTGTGTTTGTGGTGGACACGTTGATGTTCCACTCCCCCCTTGCCCTTCATCCACGGCAGTGGGCACTGGTAGTGGGCACCGGTGGTGGGCACGATGGTAGTGGGCACGGTGGTAGTGGGCACTGCCAGTGGCTACGATGGTAGTGGGGGTCAGCAGGAATATAATGGATATTTCCGTTATATATATTTATTAGAAGAGAGCTAATGCATGGATCATCCGGGGTACCTATTACCACATTTTCTTATTTATTTTTTCTTATTTTGAGCAGAGGCATCGGGGATTGGATCGGGTGAGCGAGCAGCGCGGGCACTGTGACGTGAGAACGTACAATATTGAGATTTCACGCCATTGGCAGTCCCCAAGACTGCGAACAGCACCGCCAGAACAGCCATCAGCATCGCAAACTGCAAGAATAATTAGACATCAAAATCAGTTCATTATGTATAGCAAACACGCTAAAACTAAATAGTTTTGAGGGCTGACGCTGAGTGGACAGCGCTCAGGGTTCGTAGTCCTAAGGGTTCGGGGTTGATCCCCGGCGGAAACAAATGAGTAGAGTTTGTCACCCTGATGTCCCTGTTCACTTAGCTGTAAATGGGTCCCTGGAGTTTGACATCTGCTATGGGCTGCTTCCTGTGGACCAAAAAATTTTTTTAAAAAAAAACCCCAAAAAATTTAAAAAACCAAAACCCAAAAACCAAAAAAAAAATTCCCCTTTGTTTTTTAAAAAAAGGGGAAAAAAAAACCCAAAAATTTTTTTTTTTAAAAAAAAATTTTGGAAAAACCCCGGCATTAAATTCCCGCCCCAAATTTTCCCCGGGAAAAAATTTTTTTTTTTTAAAAAAATTTTAAAATTTTTTTAAAAAATTTGGGGTTTAAAAAAAATTTTTTTTCCTTTCCCCCGGGCCCTTTTGGGAAATTTGGCAAAAAAAAATTTTTTTAAAATTTTTTTTTTTTTTTTTAAAAAATTTTTTTTTTAAAAAATTTTTTTTTAAGGAAAAACCCCAAAAAAAATTTTTAAAAAATTTTTTTTTCCCCAAAAAAAAAAAAAACCCCGGAAACCCTTTTTGGGAAATTTTAAATTTAAAAGGGGTTTTTTTTTTTTCCCTTTAAAAATTTTTTTTTTTAAAAAAATTTTAAAAATTTAAAAAAAAAAAAAAACAAAAACCCCCGAAAAAAAAAAAAACTTGGGAAAAAAAAAAAGGGGGGTTTTTTGGGGGGTTTTTCCCCAAAAAAAAACCCAAAACCCCCCCCCCCCGGGGGGGGGTTTGTTTTTCCCCCCCCCCCCGGGGTGGGGTTTGGGGGGGAAAAAAAAAAAAGGTTTAAAGGTTTTAAGTTAAAAAAAAAAAAAAAAATTTCCCTAAAAATTTTTTTTTTTAAAAACCAATTTAAAAAACCCCTTTTTTTTTTAAAGGGGGGGGGGGGGTTCCCCAAAAAAAAAAAATTTTTTTTACAGGGCCCCCAAAGGGAAAAAAAAGGGGGGGCAAAAATTTTTAAAACAAATTTTTTACCCTTTTTCCCCCCCCCTTTTTTTTTTCCCCCCCCCAAAAAAACCCTGGGGAAAAGCCTTTAAAACCCCAAAAAAATTAATTTTTCCCAAAACCCCCTTTTTCCTTAAAAAAAAAAAAAAAAATTTTTTAAAAACCCCAAATTGTTCCCGGGGCCCGGGGGGGGAAAACCAAAAAAAAACCCTTTTTTTTAAAAAAAGGTTAAAAAAATTTTTTCCCAAAAGGGGGAAAAAAAAATTTTTAAAAAAAAAGGTTAAAAAGGGTTTTAAAAATTAAAAAAAAAAAAAAAAAATTTTTTTTTTTTTTTGGTTTGGAAAAAAAAAAAAATTTGGTTTTTTAAAAAAAAATTTTTTTTTAAAAAACCCTTAAAAAAATTTTTTTAAAACCCCAAAACAAAACCAAAAAAAAAAAACCCCCCCTTTTTTAAAAATTTTTTAACCAAAAAAAAGATTTTAAAAAAACCCAAAAACCAAAAAAAAATTTTTTTTAAATTTTCGGTTTTTAAAAAAACCCCCAAAAATTTTTTTTTAAAATTTTTGAAGGGGTTTTTGAAAATTTTTTTCCCCTTTTTGGTTTTAAAAAAAAACCCCTTTAACCCCCTTGGGGGTTTTTAAAAAAAAAAATTTTTTTTTTTTTTTTTTTTTTTTTTTTAAAAAAAATTTTTTTGTCCTTTTTTTTTTTGGGGGGAAAAAAAAATTTTTTTAAAAAAAGGGGGAAAAAAAATTTAATATTTTTCCCCTTTTTTCCAAATTTTTTTTAAAAAAATTTTTTTTTTTTTTTAAAAAAAAAAAATTTCCAAAAAAAAAATTTTTTAAAAAAAAAAAAAAAAAGGGGGGTTTTTTTAAAAGGTTTTTTTTTGGGGCCCCCCCCCGGGGGGGGAAAAACCCCCCCTTTTAAAATTTTTTTGGGGAAAAAAGGGGGGGAAGAAATTTTTTTTTTTTAAAAAGGGGAAAAAAAAACCCAAACCCCCCTTTGGGTTTTTTTAAGGGGAAAATAAAAAAAAAAATTTAAACCCGGGGGGGGGGAAAGGGAAAAAAATTTTTTTTTAAAAAGGGAAGGGGGGGTTTGGGGGGTTTGGGGGGAAAAACCCCCTTTTTTCCCAAAAACCCAAAATTTTTTTAAAAGGGGGGGAAAAAAAAAAAAAAAAAAATTTAAAATTTTAAAAAAAAACCCAAAAACCCAAAAAAAATTTGGGGTTGGGGGTTAAACCCTTTTTTTAAAGGGCCGGGGAATTTTCCCCCAAAAACCAAACCTTTTATTTTAAAAACAATTTTCCCTTAAAAAAAAAACCCTTCCCCTTTTTAAGGGGGGAAAAAATTTTAAAAAAACCCGGGGAAAAAAAAAAAAAAAAAAATAAAAAGGAAAAAAAAAAAATTTTTTGTTTTAAAAATTTTTGGGGTTTTTAAAAAAATTTTTGTTTTTTTTTTCCCCCCCTTTTTTTTAAAATTTAAAAAAAAAATTTAAAAAAGGGGTTTCCCCTTTTAAAATTTAAAAAATTTTTTTTCCCTTTTTGGGGGGAAAAAAAAAAACCCGGGGGAAAATTTTAATTTTTAAAAAAAAAAATTTTTCCAAAAAAATTTTATTAAAATTTTTAAAAAAAAATTTTTTTTAAAAAAAAAAAAATTTTTAAAAACCCTTAAAAAAAACCCCAAAAAAACCCGGTTTAAAAACCAAAAACCCAAAAAACCCCCAAAAAAAACCTTTTAAGGGGTTTAACCCCCAAAAAAACCCCCCCCCCAAAAAAACCTTTCCCCCAAAAACCATTTCCCAATTTTTAACATTTTAAAAAACCCAAAAATTTTTAAAAAAAAAATTTTTTCCCCGGGAATTAAAAAAAAATTTTAAAAAAAGGGCCCCCCCCCCAAAAAAAAAGGTTTTTCCCCCCGGGACCTTTCCCAAAAAACCCAAACCCAAACCCCCAAAAAAAAAAAACCCGCCCCCCCAAAAAAAAAAAACCCCAATTTTTCCCGTTTTAAAAAAAAAAAACAAAAAAAAGGGGGGGGGTTTTTTCCCCCAAAAAAAATTTTTAAACCAAATTTCCCAAAAATTTTTTAAAAAATTTTAAAAAAAATTTTTTTTAAAAAAACCCCCAAAATCAAAAAACCCCCAAAAAATAAAAAGGGTTAAACCCTTCCAACCCAAAAAAGGGGGCCCCCTTTTTCCCAAAACAAAAAAAAAAAAAAACCCCCCCCCCTTTTTATATAAAAAAAACCCAAAACCCCAAAAAAAAAAAAATTCCCAAAAAAAATTTTAAAAATTTAAATTTCCAAAAAAACAAAATTTAAACCCCAACCCCAAAAAAAATTTAAAAAAAATTTTTAAAAAAAAAAAAAAAACCCCGGGGGAAAAATTTTTTGGGGGAAAAAATTCTAAAAAACCCAAACCTTAAAATTTAAAACCTTAAAAACCCCTTTTCAAAAAAATTCAAAAAAATTTTTTTTTTAAAAAAAAACCCCTTTGGGAAAAAAAAATTTAAAAATTTTTTTTAAAAAAAAAAAATTTCAACCCTTTCCCCCCCTTTTAATGGGAAAAGGGGGTTTAAAAAAATTTAAATTTTTTTTTCCCAAAATTTTTTAAAAATTTAAAAATTTTTTTTTTTAAAAAAAAAAAATTTTTAATTTAAAAAAAATTTTTTTTTTTTAAAAAAATTTAAAAAAAAATTTTCCCAAAAAATTTTTTTTTAAAAAAATTTTTTAAAAAAAAAAAATTTTTTTTTAAAAAAAAATTTTTTTTTTTTTTTTTAAAAAAAAAAACCCCCCAAAAATTTAAAAAAAAAAACAAATTTTAAAAAAAAAAAACCCCCAAAAAATTTTAAAAACAAAAAATTTTCCCCTTTTCCCCAAAAAAAACCACCTTTAAAAAATTTTAAAAACAATCCTTTTACCCCCCCCCCTGTTTTGTTTTAACACCTTGTTTCCACTCCCCCCCCCTTCATCCACGGTTTAAAACCCCACCCCCACCGGGGGCCCACCCCACCCTTTTGGGCACTTTTTCCCCCAAAAGGGGGGGGGCAAAAAAAGGAAAACCCCAAATTAAAAAAAAAAAAAGGGTTAATAGGAATTTTCCCCCTTTTTTTTTTTTTTTTTTTTTTTAAAAAGGCCGGGAAATTTTAAAAAAGGGGGGAAAAAATTTTTTTGGGGGGGCCCGGCCCCCAAAAAAAAAAGTTAAAATTTTAAAAAGCAAAAAAGGGGTTTTAATTTTTTTTAAAAAAAAATTAAAAAAAAATTTTTTTTTTTTTGGGGTTTTTTTTTTAAATTTTTTAAATTTGGGGGGGGAAAAAAAAAAATTTTTTTTTCCCTTTTTCCTTTTTTTTAAAAAAAAAATTTTTTTTAAAGGGGTTTTTTTTTTTTTTTTCCCTTTTGGTTGGGGTTTTTTTTTTCCCCCCCCCAAATTTTTAAAAATTTTTCCCCCCCCAAAAAAAAAACAAAAGGGGCCGGGTTTTTCCCCCAAAAAAATTTTTTTTAAAAGGTTTTAAAAAGGGGGGAAAAAAGGGGGGGGTTTTTTTTTCCCCTTTTCCCCCCCCGGGGGGTTGGGCCCGGGGGGGTTTTGGGGTTTTTTTCCCCCCCGGGGGGGTTTTGGGGTTTTAAAATTTTTTTTAAGGAAAAGGGGAAAAAGGGGCCTTACCTATTTTTTTAAAATTTTTCTTTTTGGGAAAAAAAAAATTTTAAAAAAAGGGGGGGGGGTTTTTTTTTTGGGGAAAAAAACCCCCAAAACCTTTTTTGAAAAAAAAAAATTAAAAAAAATTTAAAATTTAACCTTAAAATTTTTTTTGGGGGGAAAAACCCCCGGGGGGGGAAAAATTGGGGTTTTCCCCTTTTTTTTAAAAAAACCCGGGGCCCCATTTTCCCTTTAAAAAAAATTTTTTTTTTTTTGGGCCTGTTTTTGGGCCTTTTTAAAAAAAAATTTTTTCCCCCCCCGGGGCGGGGGTTTTTTTTTAAAATTTAAAAAGGGGGGAATAAAAAAATTTTTTCCCCCCCCCCAAAAAAAAAAAGGGTTTGGGGGGGGAAAAAAATTGGGAAAAGGCCCCAAAAAATTTAGGGGAAAACAAAATTTATTTTTTTTTTATTTAATAAAGGGAAATTTAAATTTTTTCGGGAACAAAAAACCCCGGGCCCCCCGGGGGGAAAAAACCCAAATCTTTTTTTTTTAAACCCCCCCAAAAAAAAAAAAAAAAAAAAAAAGGTTTTTTTTTTCCTTTTTTGCCTTTTTAATTTGGAAAAAAAAAAATTTTTGGGGAAAACAAAATTTTTTTTTTTTAAAAAAAAAAAATTTTTTTTTTCCCGTTGGAATTTTTTTTAAAAAAAAAAAAATTCCTTTTTTTAAAAAAAAAATTTTTGGGCCGGGGGGGAAAAAAAAAAAATTAAAATTTTTTAAGGAAACCCTTTTAAAAGGAAAAAAAATTTTTTGGGGCCCTTTTTTAATTGGTTTTGTTTGGGGGTTTAAAAAAAAAATTTAAAAAGGGGGGGGGGGGAAAAAAAAAAACCCCCCCCCTTTTTTAAAAAAAAAAAAAATTTTTTTTAAAATTTTTCCCCAAAAAAAAGGGGCAAAACCGAAATTTTGGGGTTTTTAAAAAAAAGGGGGGGGGGAAAAAAAGGGGAAAGGGGGTTTTTCTGGGAAGGGGGGGGTTTTTTTAAACCAAACCCAAACCCAATTTCCTGGGAAAACCCCTTTGGTTTTTGGGCCGGGGTTTTTTAAAAGGGAAAAAAAAAAAATTTTTTTTTGGCCCTTTTAAAACCCAAAATTGGGGGTTTTTTTTCCCCTTTCCCCCAAAATTTTGGGGTTGGTTTGGGGAAAAAAAGTAAAAAACCTTTGGGGGCCCAAAAAAAAAACCCCCAAAAAACCCAAAAATAAAAAAAAAAGTTTTTAAATTTCCCCAAAAACCCCAAAAAAAAAAGGGGGGGGCGGCTGAAAAAAGGGGGGGGGGTTAAAAAAAAAAAAAAAAGGGGGGGAAAAACCCCCCCCCAAAAAAAAAAAAAAAAAAAAAAATTTTTTAAAAAAAAAATCCAAAGGAAAAAAAAAACCCCCCAAAATTTTTTGGGGGGGGGTCCCCCAAAAAAAAAAAAAACAAATTTTTTGAAAAAAATTTAAAAAAAATTTATTTTAAAAACCCAAAACCCAAAAAAAATTTTGGGGGCCCCCAAAAAAAAAAAAAATTTTTTAAAAAAAAACCTTAAACAAAAACCCCCCCCTTTTAAAAAAATTTTAATTAAATTTAAAAAAATAAAAAAACCCCCCAAAAAAAAAAAAATTTAAACCCCAAAAAAAATTTTAAAAAAATTTTTTTTTTAAAATTTTCCCTTTCCCAAAAAAAATTTTAAAATTTGAAAACCCCCAAAAACCAAAACAAAAAAACCCCTTGGGTTTCCCCGGGTTTTCTTTAAAAAACCCAAATTGGCCCCAAAACCCCCTTGGAAATTTAAAAATTAAAAAATTTTTTTAAATTTTTTTTTTTTTGTTTTTTTTTTTTTTTTTTAATTTTAAAAATTTTTTTAAAAAGGTTTTTTAATTTTTTTTTTGGGGGGGAAATGTAAATTTTTTCAACCGGGTTTTTTTTCCACCCGGGGAAATTTTTTGGGGGAAATTTAAAAAATTTTTTTTTTTTTCCTTTTTTTTTTTTTAAATTTTGTAAATTTTTTTTAATTTAAAAAAATTTAAAATTTTTTAAAAATTTTTTTTTTAAATTAAAAAATTTAAAAAAATTTTTTTTAAAAAATTTTTTTTTGTTTTTAAAAAAAATTTTTTAAAAAGGTTTAATTTTCCCTTTTTAAACCTTTCCTTTTTTTTTTTAATTTTTCCCCCCCCCCTTCCCTTAAAAAAAAAAAGGGGGGGGGGTTTTTTAAAAGTTTAAAAATTTTAAAAAAAATTTTTTAAAAATAATGCAAAATTTCCCGGGTCCTTTTTTTTTTTTAAAAGTTTCCAAAATTAAACCCTTTTTGGGGGAACTTTGGCCAACCCCCCCCCCCCCCTTTTCCCCCTTTTTTTTTTTTGGGGGGGGGGGGAAAAATTTTGGGGGGAAAAAAAAAAAGGGGAAAAATTTTAATTTTGGGGGGGGTTTTTTTTTAAAAAAAACCAACCAAAACGGGGGGAAAAAAAAAACCGGCCGGGGGCCCCAATAAAATTAAAATTTTTTAATTTTTTTTTTGGGGGTTTGGGGTTTAAGGGGGGGAAACCCCGGGCCCCCCAAAAATTTTTTTTGAAGCCCTTTTCCCCCAAGGGAAAAAAGGGGGGCCCCCCCCCCAAAAAATTTTGGGGAAAAAATTAAAAAAACCCCGAAAAAAAGGGTTTAAGGGGAAGGTTGGGAATTTTGGTTTTAAAAAAAAAAGGGGTTTAATTTGGGGGGAAAAAATTTGGGGTTTTTTTTTAAAATTGGGTTTTTTTTCCTTAAAAGGTTTTTGGGGTTTAATTTTAGGGGCCCCTTTAATTTTTTTTTTTAAATTTAAAAAAAAAAATTTCCCCGGGGGTAAAATTTGGGCTTTTTTTAAAATTAAAATAAAATTAAAATTAAATTTTTAATTTTTTGGGGGAAAAAAAATTAAAGGGTTTTTGGTTTTTTAAAATTAACTTTTTTATTTAAAAAAAAAATTTTTAAAAAAAAAAAAAAAAAAAAATTTTTTAAAAATTTAAAGGGGAAAGAAACTGCTCAATAAAATAGCAACATACAAGAGAGATATGGCAGAAACTGAAAAATATAGCCAGTGAATGTAATGTGTACATTTATCACAGTTACAAAATACACTGTAAACGACTCTTCAGTCTCCGGCCAATAAATATAAGTAATGTGTAAATAAGTAATGTAATTAAAGTGTCAATAGTAAGTAAAAAGCTCCACTTATTTCTTCCGTGGGAGCAGAGGAGCTCTCGAAATTATCAACAGGTAATCGACAGGTAATACGTTATGTGCTAGCATAAAACTATTACTAGCATAAAACTTACTAATATGCACATAATACAACCATTCACTCTGCTGCCATACACACAGTACTACTACCATATACACACTGCAATCATACACACAGTACTACCATACACACACTGCTATCATACAGTACTACCATACACACACTGCTAGTATACACACAGTACTACCATACACACACTGCTATCATAGACACAGTACTACCATACACACACTGCTATCATACACACAGTACTACCACACACACACACTGCTATCATACACACAGTACTACCACACACACACTGCTATCATACACACAGTACTACCATACACACACTGCTATCATACACACAGTACTACCATACACACACACTGCTATCATACACACAGTACTACCACACACACACACTGCTATCATACACACAGTACTACCACACACACACTGCTATCATACATACAGTACTATCATACACACACTGCTATCATACACACAGTACTACCATACACACACTGCTATCATACACACAGTAATATCATACACACACTGCTATCATACACACAGTACTATCATACACACAGTACTATCATACACACGCTACCGTTCAGACAATGCTACTCATTTACAAACTGAGAGGACAAGACTGGCAAGCAAAATGTTACTCTGCAACCAGTAACATTCTGAGCATCACCAACATTCACATGAATAACTTACTTATCTTCGGCTTCATTAGACATTTTTAGCTTCAAATATTTTCAGCTGGTTTGAATATTTGCAAATAACCGGTTTGAATGAACAGCATGTACAAATTTATGAATGCGTCTGTGGGGTCGACCGCTGGATGTAATGGACTTGAGTCGAGGACAGTTGGCAAGTTGCCTTTCCACCACAGTCAATGGGATGGGTATGGGGTGCATAATAAAGAAATTTATTTATTTTATAATAGGTCTAGTTTTAATATCTTTCTTGTATATATATTTGTTCTTTATTTTATAAAAGAATTTATTTTAGGATTTAGTCAGTTCATTTTTATTCATTTAATAAGATTTAAATTTGAACTGTATACATTTTTTAGCTAATCCTGCGTTGTTTTTTTAACCACTAACGATGGGGATTATTTTAAATAAACTGAAGATGTACATCTTTTCCCTTATTTTACTTTTCTTAAGTATGTATTTATATTTATATACAATTTTGTACAGTCTCCCAAATTTAGGTAAAGAAAATTAAACATCCATGTCATAGAATTTATTAACAATGTCACATTAACAGAAGTGTAAGAACAGCAAAGTTGTTCCTCTTAAACGATGCAAAAGTTTATTGTGATGCATCATATTACACGAAGATTTTATAACAAGTCCTTCATGGTACCCTGTCACCAACGGCTCTGTGTTTGTGGTGGACACGTTGATGTTCCACTCCCCCCTTGCCCTTCATCCACGGAAGTGGGCACTGTTAGTGGGCACTGGTAGTGGGCACTGGCAGTGGGCACTGGCAGTGGGGGTCAGCAAGAACATAATGGATATTTCCATTATATATATTTATTAGAAGAGAGCTAATGCATGGATCATCCGAGGTGCCGATTACCTCATTTTCTTATTTATTTTTTCTTATTTTGAGCAGAGGCATCGAGGATTGGATCAGGTGAGCGAGCAACGAGGGCACTGTGAGGCTTTGCATCAAAATCGCCATTGGCAGTCCCCAAGACTGCGAACAGCACCGCCAGAACAGCCATCATCATCGCAAACTGCAAGAATAATTAGACATCAAAATGAGTCTATTATGTATCGAAAACACGTTAACACTAAATAGTTTAGGGGGCCTGACGGTTGAGTGGACAGCGCTCGGAGTTCGTAGTCCTAAGGGTCCGAGTTCGATCCCCGGCGGAGGCGGAAACAAATGAGCAGAATTTCTCACCCTGATGCCCCTGTTCACTTAAAAGTAAATGAGTCCCTGGAGTTTGACACCGGCTATGGGCTGCTTCCTGGGGATGTGTGTGTGTGTATTCACCTAGTTGTGCTTGCGGGGGTTGAGCTCTGCTCTTTCGGCCCGCCTCTCAATTGTAAATCAACTGTTTCTACTACATTTTCCCTCCACACCGCACACCAGGAAGCAGCCCGTGACAGCTGACTAACTCCCAGATACCTATTTACTACTAGGTAACAGGGGAATAGAGTGAAAGAAACTCTGCCCATCGTTTCTCGCCGGCGCCCGGGATCGAACCCGAGACCACAGGATCACGTGTACATCATGCTGTCCGCTCGGCCACCGGCTCCCCGTGTGTGTGTGGAAATTAGGATTAAGGACTTGCCTGAAACACTATGCGTACTAGTGGCTGTACAAGAATGTAAGAACTATTGTATATATAAATAAAAATTTATATATATAAATGACTGAATTTAGATTTTGTTTCTTCTGTTGGACAAAATGTCAGGAAACTGGTTTTCCTTGACAATATATACCTGCGTGTCACTCAAGAGTATCGTAAATACATTCTTAATTGTTTTAGTTTCACTCTTCAACAATCTCAAGAGATCTAGGAAACTAACCCCAGGGTGGAGTTTAATGCTAGAAGGTTACTCTCCCTATTTAACTTCAAATATCATTAGTATGGCATCGACTTCATTTGAACTTCTGCAAGAACTAAACAAAAGTTTTAGTTTGGTGCGTGTTAAGCACTTAACTGCTTGTTGATAAATAACACCAGTTTTAACATTATTCTCATAAATTAGAGCGTGGTATCTAAATTTTGTTTTAAAATAAACTAAAGTTCTGTGGATATTATTAAATTTAAACAAAAGCATCAATTAAGCAGTCAGCGTGATGAGGCTTAAGTAGAGAGAAAAAAATCCAAGCTGTGCTGTATAGCGATCAACGTTTATAAAGTACGGTCAATACAAACAGATAATACTTACGATCTTCATGTTGGCAGATGATTTGGTAATGACAAGAGAAGCTGTGAAGGAGTGTGTCTGGAACACGGAACCCCAGACATTATATACGCCTGCCAGGTCAGGTGTTGCCAACACCAGCTACTGACTTGTAGGGAAATTTCTTATACGCAGTTTCCTATTTCGTAACATTTCAATATAACATAATATTTGTTCACAATAAGACTGTAAAATGTTTTAACTGTTCGTCTGGACATGTAGTGTTCGTGTTTGGATAATTGGTCAAAACGAAACCGCTTGTACAAACAATCGACAATTTTTAAATTTTCTTGTCTGCGAATACAAAAATGGGAATTGAGTTTTTCCTGCCCTTAGGAGATCTTGGGTGTACGAGAACCACACACACACACACACACACACACTAGCCTGATGGATAGCGCGCAGTACTCGTAATTCTGTGGTGCGGGTTCGATTCCCGCACCAGGCAGAAACAAATGGACAAAGTTTCTTTCACCCTGAATGCCCTTGTTACCTAGCAGTAAATAGGTACCTGGGAGTTAATCAGCTGTCACAGGATGCTTCTTGGTCACGACCTGCTTCCTGGGGTGTGTATGGTGAGGAAAAAAAAGTAGTTAGTAAACAGTTGATTGACAGTTGAGAGGCGGGCCGAAAGAGCAAAGCTCAACCCCCGCAAAACACAACTAGGTGAATACAACTAGGTGAATACAACTAGGTGAATACACACGCAGGACTCGTAATTCTGTGGCGCGGGTTCGATTCCCGCACCAGGCAGAAACAAATGGGCAAAGTTTCTTTCACCCTAAGTGCCCCTGTTACCTAGCAGTAAATAGGTACCTGGGAGTTAGTCAGCTGTCACGGGCTGCTTCCTGGGGTGTGTGTGTGTGGTGTGGAAAAAAAAAAAAAAAAAAGTAGTTAGTAAACAGTTCATTGACAGTTGAGAGGCGGGCCGAAAGAGCAAAGCTCAACCCCCGTAAAAACACAACTAGTACACAACTAGTAAACACCAGTTGATATACATTTGAGACCCACAAGCACAATTAGGAGAGTACACACCGACTTGTTTGGGTGCTTGTGCTGTTAAAGGAATGGGGGGGGAGGGGTGTCAAGGACAAGGGAGAGAGGGGGGTGTCTAAGGGAAGAGGGGGTGGAACTTGGTGCTTATCAGTTCAAACCCAATTTTCAGCAGCAAAAGTCACTCAGATTGGTTTATAACCTGCAGGAAATATTATTAATAAGTTGCATTTAATTGAACTCATTTACAGAACCTGTTTTGCGATCAAGATCTAAAACTCCTAAATTCAGAGCACATATATATAGGGAGATTAGGACTCGCTTCCGACCACCAAAATCACCGTGTGGAGTAAGACTCTGGCCATACATACTGTATCATAAACACTCTACTGTTATTCCCATACACAAAACACCGTATTCCTTACAAGGATGTCAATAGAGATATCTCATAACATCCATATGGAAGATATTTTAAAGTCAGATCCCGAAACTGCTCAATAAAATGACAATATGCTAGAGCGAGATATGGCAGGAACTGAAAAATATAGCCAATGACTGGAAAGTGTACATTTAACACAGTTACAAAACACACTGTAAACATCAAAGGTCCACGACTCTTCAGTCTCCGGCCAATAAATATAAGTAATGTGTAAAAGAAATGTAAATAAAGTGTCAATAGTAAGTAAAAAGCTGCACTTATTTCTTCCGTGGGAGCAGAGGAGCTCTCGAAATTATCAACAGGTAACCGACAGGTAATACTTTATGTGCTAGCATAAAACTATTACTAGCAAAAAACTATTACTAATATGCTCATAATACAACCATTCACTCTGCTACCATACACACAGTACTACAATACAAACAGTACTACCATACACACAATGCTATCATACACACAGCACTACCATACACACAGTACTACCATACACACAGTACTACCATACACACAGTACTACCATACACACGCTTCCGTTCAGACAATGCCATTCATTTACAAACTGAGAGGACAAGACTGGCAAGCAAAATGTTACTCTGCAACCAGTAACATTCTGAACATCACCAAGATTCACATGAATAACTTACTTATCTTCGGCTTTATTACACATTCTCAGCTTCACCGAACATTTTCAGCTGGTTTGAATGTTTGAAAATTCCTGGTTTGAATGAACAGCATATACAAATTAATGAATGCGTCTGTGGGGTCGACCGCTGGATGTAATGGACTGGAGTCAAGGACAGTTGCCAAGTTGCCTTTCCACCACCGCCCATGGGATGGGTATGGGGTGCATAATAAAGAAATTGACTTATTTTATAATATGTCTAGTTTTAATATCTTTCTTGTATATATATTCGTTCTTTATTTTATAAAAAAATTTATTTTAGGATTTAGTCAGTTCATTTTTATTCATTTAATAAGATTTAAATTTGAACTATGTACATTTTTTTAGCTAAAAATAAAAAGTAACGCAGGATTAATCACTATCGATGGGGAATATTTTAAATTAACTGAAGATGTACATCTTTCCACTTATTTTACTTTTCCTAAAAATGTATTTATTTATTTACACTTTTGTACATTCTCCTAAATTAAGATAAAAAAATTAAAACATCCATGTAATACACTTTATTAACAATGTCACATTAACAGAAGTGTAAGAACAGCAAAGTTGTTCCTCTTAAACGATGCAAAAGTTTATTGTGATGCATCATATTACACGAAGATTTTATAACAAGTCCTTCATGGTACCCTGTCACCAACGGCTCTGTGTTTGTGGTGGACACGTTGATGTTCCACTCCCCCCTTGCCCTTCATCCACGGAAGTGGGCACTGCCAGTGGGCACTGGTAGTGGGGGTCAGCAAGAACATTATGGATATTTAAGTTATATATATTTATAAGAAGAGAGCTAATGCACGGATCATCCGGGGTACCTGCTGCTGTTGTTGTTGTTTATAGATTCAGCTACTCTGAACAAGTTCCAAGTAGCACAGGCTATGGTGAGCCCGTAACTTACCTGGCACAGGAGCGGAGCTCGCAGAGTACCTATTACCACATTTTCTTATTTATATTCTCTGATTTTGAGCAGAGGCATCGGGGATTGGATCGGGTGAGCGAGCAACGCGGGCACTATGACGTGTTTCCCAACAAATTCCATTACCGATACCGTGCCTTTGGACGCCATTGGCAGTCCCCAAGACTGCGAACAGCACTGCCAGAACAGCCATCAGCATCGCAAACTGCAAGAATAATTAGACATCAAAATCAGTCTATTACGTATCTAAAACACGCTAAAAATAAATAGTTTAGTGGACCTGACGGTTGAGTGTACAGCACTCGGTGTTCGTAGTCCTAAGGGTCCGGGTTCGATCCCCGGCGGACGCGGAAACAAATGGGCAGAGTTTATTTCATCCTGATGCATCTTTTCACCTAGCAGTAAATAGGTACGTGGGAGTTTGACAGCTGCTACGGGCTGCTTCCTGGAGATGTTTGTGTGTGAAAATTAGGATTAAGGACTTGCCCGAAACGCTATGCGTGCTAATGGCTGTACAGGAATGTGAGAATTCTTGTATGTATATAAATAAAATAAAAATAAGTCTATATATAAATGGCTGAATTTAGATTTTGTTTCTGCTGTTGGATAAAATGTCAGGAAATTGTGGTTTTCCTTGACAAGATGTACTTTTGTGTCATTCTGAGTATCGTAGACACAATCTTAATTAACTGTTTTAGTTTTACTCTTCAACAATCTCAAGAGATCTAGGAAACTAACCCCAGGGTGGAGTATAATGCTCGAGGTTTACTCTCCCTATTTAACTTCATATATCATTAGTATGGCATCGACTTCATTTGAACTTCTGCAGGAACTAAAAAAAGTTCACGTTCAAATGCTTAATTTGTTGTGTGTTAAGCACTTAACTGCTTGTTGATAAATAACACGAGTTTAAACATTATTCTCATAAATTAGAGCGTGGTATCTGAAATTTATTTTAAAATAAACTAAAGTTCTGTGGATATTAATAAAATTAAACAAATGCATCAATTAAGCAGTCAGAGTGGTGAGGCTTAAGTAGAGAAAACGTTCTAAACTGTGTTGTGTAGCGATCAACGTTTACAAAGTGTAGTCAATATAAACAGATAATACTTACGATCTTCATGTTGGCGGAGGAGTTGGTAACAACAGAAGAAGTTGTGAAGGAGTGTGTCTGGGGTACCAAACCCCAGACTTTATATACTCCTGCCAGGTCAGGTGATGCCAACATGAGCTATTGACCTACAGGAAACTTTCATTTTCGCAGTTTACTATTTCGTAACATTTCAATAAAACGTAATATTTGTTCACAATAAGACTGCAAAATGTTTTAACTGTTCGTCTGGACATGTAGTGTTCGTGTTTGGATAATTGGTCAAAACGAAACCGCTTGTACAAACAATCGACAATTTTAATATTTTCTTGTCTGCGAATACAAAAATGGGAATTGAGTTTTTCCTGACCTTGGGCGACCTTGGGTGCACCAGAAGGACACACACACACACACACACACACTAGTTGATTGACATTTGAGAGGCGGGACCAAAGCTCAAGACCCGCAAGCACAATTAGATGAGTACACACCGACTGGTTTAGGTGCTTGTGCTGTTGAAGGGATGGGGGGGGGGAGGGTGTCAAGGACAAGGGAGAGAGGGGGGTGTCTAAGGGGGGGTGGAACTTGGTGTTTACCAGTTCAAACCCAATTTTCTGCAGCAAAAGTCACTCAGATTGGTTTATAACCTGCAGGAAATATTATTAATAAGTTGCATTTAATTGAACTCATTTACAGAACCTGTTTTGCGATCAAAATCTAAAACTCCTAAATTCCGAGCACATATATATAGGGAGATTAGGACTCGCTTCCGAACACCAAAATCATCTTGTGGAGTAAGACTCTGGCCATACATACTGTATCATAAACACTCTACTGTTATTCCCATACACAAAACACAGTATCCCTTACAAGAATGTCAATAGAGATCTCTCATATCATCCATATGGAAGATATTTTAAAGTCAGATCCCGAAACTGCTCAATAAAATAGCAACATACAAGAGAGATATGGCAGAAACTGAAAAATATAGCCAATGAATGTAATGTGTACATTTATCACAGTTACAAAATACACTGTAAACGACTCTTCAGTCTCCGGCCAATAAATATAAGTAATGTGTAAATAAGTAATGTAAATAAAGTGTCAATAGTAAGTAAAAAGCTGCACTTATTTCTTCCGTGGGAGCAGAGGAGCTCTCGAAATTATCAACAGGTAATCGACAGGTAATACTTTATGTGCTAGCATAAAACTATTACTAGCATAAAACTTACTAATATGCACATAATACAAACATTCACTCTGCTACCATACACACAGTACTACTACCATATACACACTGCTATCATACACACAGTACTACCATACACACACTGCTATCATACACACGGTACTACCATACACACACTGCTATCATACACACAGTACTACCATACACACTGCTATCATACGCACAGTACTACCATACACACTGCTATCATACGCACAGTACTACCATGCACGCACTGCTATCATACAGTACTACCATACACACACTGCTATCATACACACAGTACTACCATACACACACTGCTATCATACACACAGTACTACCATACACACACTGCTATCATACACACAGTACTACCACACAAACACACTGCTATCATACACACAGTACTACCACACACACACTGCTATCATACACACAGTACTACCATACACACACTGCTATCATACACACAGTACTACCATACACACACTGCTATCATACACACATAACTACCACACACACACACTGCTATCATACACACAGTACTATCACACACACACTGCTATCATACACACAGTACTATCATACACACACTGCTATCATACACACAGTACTATCATACACACACTGCTATCATACACACAGTACTATCATACACACAGTACTATCATACACACAGTACTATCATACACACACTGCTATCATACACACAGTACTACCATACACACACTGCTATCATACACACAGTAATATCATACACACACTGCTATCATACACACAGTACTACCATACACACACTGCTATCATACACACATAACTACCACACACACACACTGCTATCATACACACAGTACTATCACACACACACTGCTATCATACACACAGTACTATCACACACACACTGCTATCATACACACAGTACTATCATACACACACTGCTATCATACACACAGTACTACCATACACACACTGCTATCATACACACAGTAATATCATACACACACTGCTATCATACACACAGTACTATCATACACACAGTACTATCATACACACAGTACTATCATACACACGCTACCGTTCAGACAATGCTACTCATTTACAAACTGAGAGGACAAGACTGGCAAGCAAAATGTTACTCTGCAACCAGTAACATTCTGAACATCACCAACATTCACATGAATAACTTACTTATCTTCGGCTTCATTAGACATTTTTAGCTTCAAATATTTTCAGCTGGTTTGAATATTTGAAAATAACCGGTTTGAATGAACAGCATGTACAAATTTATGAATGCGTCTGTGGGGTCGACCGCTGGATGTAATGGACTTGAGTCGAGGACAGTTGGCAAGTTGCCTTTCCACCACCGTCAATGGGATGGGTATGGGGTGCATAATAAAGAAATTTATTTATTTTATAATAAGTCTAGTTTTAATATCTTTCTTGTATATATATTTGTTCTTTATTTTATAAAATAATTTATTTTAGGATTTAGTCAGTTCATTTTTATTCATTTAATAAGATTTAAATTTGAACTGTATACATTTTTTAGCTAATCCTGCGTTGTTTTTTTAACCACTAACGATGGGGATTATTTTAAATAAACTGAAGATGTACATCTTTTCCCTTATTTTACTTTTCTTAAGTATGTATTTATATTTATATACACTTTTGTACAGTCTCCCAAATTTAGGTAAAGAAAATTAAACATCCATGTCATAGAATTTATTAACAATGTCACATTAACAGAAGTGTAAGAACAGCAAAGTTGTTCCTCTTAAACGATGCAAAAGTTTATTGTGATGCATCATATTACACGAAGATTTTATAACAAGTCCTTCATGGTACCCTGTCACCAACGGCTCTGTGTTTGTGGTGGACACGTTGATGTTCCACTCCCCCCTTGCCCTTCATCCACGGTAGTGGGCACTGGTAGTGGCCACGGTGGTAGTGGGCACTTAGTGGGCACTGGTAGTGGGCACTGGCAGTGGGCACTGGCAGTGGGGGTCAGCAAGAACATAATGGATATTTCCATTATATATATTTATTAGAAGAGAGCTAATGCATGGATCATCCAGGGTACCGATTACCTCATTTTCTTATTTATTTTTTCTTATTTTGAGCAGAGGCATCGAGGATTGGATCAGGTGAGCGAGCAACGAGGGCACTGTGAGGCTTTGCATCAAAATCGCCATTGGCAGTGCCCAAGACTGCGAACAGCACCGCCAGAACAGCCATCATCATCGCAAACTGCAAGAATAATTAGACATCAAAATGAGTCTATTATGTATCGAAAACACGTTAAAACTAAATAGTTTAGGGGGCCTGACGGTTGAGTGGACAGCGCTCGGAGTTCGTAGTCTTAAGGGTCCGAGTTCGATCCCCGGCGGAGGCGGAAACAAATGAGCAGAGTTTCTCACCCTGATGCCCCTGTTCACTTAAAAGTAAATGAGTCCCTGGAGTTTGACACCGGCTATGGGCTGCTTCCTGGGGATGTGTGTGTGTGTATTCACCTAGTTGTGCTTGCGGGGGTTGAGCTCTGCTCTTTCGGCCCGCCTCTCAATTGTAAATCAACTGTTTCTACTACTTTTTTCCCTCCACACCGCACACCAGGAAGCAGCCCGTGACAGCTGACTAACTCCCAAATACCTATTTACTACTAGGTAACAGGGGAATAGAGTGAAAGAAACTCTGCCCATCGTTTCTCGCCGGCGCCCGGGATCGAACTCGAGACCACAGGATCACGTGTACATCATGCTGTCCGCTCGGCCACCGGCTCCCCGTGTGTGTGTGAAAATTAGGATTAAGGACTTGCCTGAAACACTATGCGTACTAGTGGCTGTACAAGAATGTAAGAACTATTGTATATATAAATAAAAATTTATATACATAAATGGCTGAATTTAGATTTTGTTTCTGCTGTTGGACAAAATGTCAGGAAACTGGTTTTCCTTGACAATATATACCTGCGTGTCACTCAAGAGTATCGTAAATACATTCTTAATTGTTTTAGTTTCACTCTTCAACAATCTCAAGAGATCTAGGAAACTAACCCCAGGGTGGAGTTTAATGCTAGAAGGTTACTCTCCCTATTTAACTTCAAATATCATTAGTATGGCATCGACTTCATTTGAACTTCTGCAAGAACTAAACAAAAGTTTTAATTTGGTGCGTGTTAAGCACTTAACTGCTTGTTGATAAAAACACCAGTTTAAACATTATTCTCATAAATTAGAGCGTGGTATCTAAATTTTGTTTTAAAATAAACTAAAGTTCTGTGGATATTATTAAATTTAAACAAAAGCATCAATTAAGCAGTCAGCGTGATGAGGCTTAAGTAGAGAGAAAACATTCCAAGCTGTGCTGTATAGCGATCAACGTTTATAAATTACGGTCAATACAAACACATAATACTTACGATCTTCATGTTGGCGGATGAGTTGGTAATGACAAGAGAAGCTGTGAAGGAGTGTGTCTGGAACACGGAACCCCAGACATTATATACGCCTGCCAGGTAAGGTGTTGCCAACACCAGCTACTGACTTGTAGGGAAATTTCTTATACGCAGTTCCCTATTTCGTAACATTTCAATATAACATAATATTTGTTCACAATAAGACTGTAAAATGTTTTAACTGTTCGTCTGGACATGTAGTGTTCGTGTTTGGATAGTTGGTCAAAACGAAACCGCTTGAACAAGCTATCAACAATTTTTAAATTTTCTTGTCTGCGAATACAAAAATGGGAATTGAGTTTTTTCTGCCGTTAGGAGATCTTGGGTGTACCAGAACAACACACACACACACTAGCCTGATGGATAGCGCGCAGTACTCGTAATTCTGTGGCGCGGGTTCGATTCCCGCACCAGGCAGAAACAAATGGACAAAGTTTCTTTCACCCTGAATACCCTTGTTACCTAGCAGTAAATAGGTACCTGGGAGTTAGTCAGTTGTCACGGGCTGCTTCTTGGTCACGACCTGCTTCCTGGGGTGTGTATGGTGAGGAAAAAAAAGTAGTTAGTAAACAGTTGAGAGGCGGGCCGAAAGAGCAAAGCTCAACCCCCGCAAAACACAACTAGGTGAATACAACTAGGTGAATACACACCAGTTGATTGACATTTGAGACCCACAAACACAATTAGGCGAGTACACACCGACTTGTTTGGGTGCTTGTGCTGTTAAAGGAATGGTGGGGGGAGTGGTGTCAAGGACAAGGGAGAGAGGGGGGTGTCTAAGGGAAGAGGGGGTGGAACTTTGTGTTTACCAGTTCAAACCCAATTTTCTGCAGCAAAAGTCACTCAGATTGGTTTATAACCTGCAGGAAATATTATTAATAAGTTGCATCTAATTAAACTCAATTACAGAATCTGTTTTGCGATCAAGATCTAAAACTCCTAAATTCAGAGTACATATATATAGGGAGATTAGGACTCGCTTCCGACCACCAAAATCATCGTGTGGAGTAAGACTCTGGCCATACATACTGTATCATAAACACTCTACTGTTATTCCCATACACAAAACACAGTATTCCTTACAAGGATGTCAATAGAGATATCTCATGACATCCATATGGAAGATATTTTAAAGTCAGATCCCGAAACTGCTCAATAAAATGACAATATGCTGGAGCGAGATATGGCAGGAACTGAAAAATATAGCCAATGAATGGAAAGTGTACATTTAACACAGTTACAAAACACACTGTAAACATCAAAGGGCCACGACTCTTCAGTCTCCGGCCAATAAATATAAGTAATGTGTAAAAGTAATGTAAATAAAGAGTCAATAGTAAGTAAAAAGCTGCACTTATTTCTTCCGTGGGAGCAGAGGAGCTCTCGAAATTATCAACAGGTAATCGACAGGTAATACATTATGTGCTAGCATAAAACTATTACTAGCAAAAAACTATTATTAATATGCTCATAATACAACCATTCACTCTGCTACCATACACACAGTACTACAATACACACAATGCTATCATACACACAGCACTACCATACACACAGTACTACCATACACACGCTACCGTTCAGACAATGCTATTCATTTACAAACTGAGAGGACAAGACTGGCAAGCAAAATGTTACTCTGCAACCAGTAACATTCTGAACATCACCAACATTCACATGAGTAACTTACTTATCTTCGGCTTTATTAGACATTTTCCTCTTCACCAAACATTTTCAGCTGGTTTGAATGTTTGAAAATTCCTTGTTTGAATGAACAGCATGTACAAATTAATGAATGCGTCTGTGGGGTCGACCGCTGGATGTAATGGACTTGAGTCGAGGACAGTTGCCAAGTTGCCTTTCCACCACCGCCCATGAGATGGTTATGGGGGTGCATAGTAAAGAAATTTATTTTATAGTATGTCTAGTTTTAAAATCTTTCTTGTATATATATATGTATATATTTGTTCTTTATTTTATATAAGAATTTATTTTAGGATTTAGTCAGTTCTTTTTTATTCATATAATAAGATTTAAATTTGAACTATGTACATTTTTTTTAGCTAATCCTGCGTTGCTTTTTAATCACTATCGATGGGGAATATTTTAAATTAACTGAAGATGTATATCTTTCCACTTATTTTACTTTTCCTAAAAATGTATTTATTTATTTACACTTTTGTACATTCTCCCAAATTAAGGTAAAGAAAATTAAAACATCCATGTACAGTAATACACTTTATTAACAATGTCACATTAGCAGAAGTGTAAGAACAGCAAAGTTGTTCCTCTTAAATGATGCAAAAGTTTATTATGATGCATCATATTACACGAAGCTTTTATAACAAGTCCTTCATGGTACCCTGTCACCAACGGCTCTGTGTTTGTGGTGGACACGTTGATGTTCCACTCCCCCCCCCCCCCCCTTGCCCTTCATCCACGGTAGTGGGCACTGGCAGTGGGCACGGTGGTAGTGGGGGTCAGCAAGAACATTATGGATATTTAAGTTATATATATTTATAAGAAGAGAGCTAATGCACGGATCATCCGGGGTACCTGCTGTTGTTGTTGTTTATAGATTCAGCTATTCTGAACAAGTTCCAAGTAGCACAGGCTATGGTGAGCCCGTAACTTACCTGGCACAGGAGCGGGGCTCGCAGAGTACCTATTATCACATTTTCTTATTTATATTCTCTTATTTTGAGCAGAGGCATCGGGGATTGGATCGGGTGAGCGAGCAACGCGGGCACTATGACGTGCTTGAACACAATCTTTATATTTAAAGAAGCCATTGGCAGTCCCCAAGACTGCGAACAGCACTGCCAGAACAGCCATCAGCATCGCAAACTGCAAGAATAATTAGACATCAAAATCAGTCTATTACGTATCTAAAACACGCTAAAAATAAATAGTTTAGTGGACCTGACGGTTGAGTGTACAGCGCTCGGTGTTCGTAGTCCTAAGGGTCCGGGTTCGATCCCCGGCGGACGCGGAAACAAATGGGCAGAGTTTCTTTCATCCTGATGCACCTTTTCACCTAGCAGTAAATAGGTACGTAGGAGTTTGACAGCTGCTACGGGCTGCTTCCTGGAGATGTTTGTGTGTGTGTGAAAATTAGGATTAAGGACTTGCCCGAAACGCTATGCGTGCTAATGGCTGTACAGGAATGTGAGAATTCTTGTATGTATATAAATAAAATAAAAATAAGTCTATATATAAATGGCTGAATTTAGATTTTGTTTCTGTTGTTTGATAAAATGTCAGGAAATTGTGGTTTTCCTTGACAAGATGTACTTTTGTGTCATTCTGAGTATCGTAGACACAATCTTAATTAACTGTTTTAGTTTTACTCTTCAACAATCTCAACAGATCTAGGAAACTAACCCCAGGGTGGAGTATAATGCTTGAAGGTTACTCCCCCTATTTAACTTCATATATCATTAGTATGGCATCGACTTTATTTGAACTTCTACAGGAACTAAAGAAAGTTCACGTTCAAATGCTTAATTTGTTGTATGTTAAGCACTTAACTGCTTCTTGATAAATAACACGAGTTTAAACATTATTCTCATAAACAAATGCATCAATTAAGCAGTCAGAGTGGTGAGGCTTAAGTAGAGAGAAAACGTTCTAAACTGTGTTGTGTAGCGATCAACGTTTACAAAGTGTAGTCAATATAAACACATAATACTTACGATCTTCATGTTGGCGGAGGAGTTGGCAACAACAGAAGAAGTTGTGAAGGAGTGTGTCTGGGGTACCAAACCCCAGACTTTATATACTCCTGCCGGGTCACGTGATGCCAACATGAGCTATTGACCTACAGGAAACTTTCATTTTCGCAGTTTACTATTTCGTAACATTTCAATAAAACGTAATATTTGTTCACAATAAGACTGCAAAATGTTTTAACTGTTCGTCTGGACATGTAGTGTTCGTGTTTGGATAATTGGTCAAAACGAAACCGCTTGTACAATGTATCGACAATTTTTAAATTTTCTTGTCTGCGAATACAAAAATGGGAACGGAGTTTTTCCTGCCCTTGGGTGATTTTGGATGCACCAGTAGAACACACACACACGCACGCACGCACGCACGCACGCACGCACACACACACACACACACACACACACACACACACACACACACACACACACACACACACACACACACACACACTTTCTAAGCCAACATGTCAGGGAACCCACGAGGATGAGAGGAAACGATGAACCAGCGAGACTCGACCTAGTCTTCACTCTGAACGACTCCGACATAAGGGAAATCGGCTTTGAGGAATGAGCGACCACAGTGTACTGGCGTTTGAGTATCTGGTTGAGGAAGGATTATTGAACTCGAGGAGAGGTACTGAAAACAAAAGGCTGGCTTTCCGAAAGGGAAACTATGAGGAGATAAGAAAATTCCTAACAGATATAACATGGGAAACAGAGCTCAGGGGAAAGATGGCCCAAGACATGATGGACTTCATCATGCAGAAGGGCAAGGAAGCAGCAAATAAGTTTGTCCCAGTCCAAAAGGAAAACAGTGAAATGAAGATGAGAAACCCATTGTTTAATCAGAGATGTAGGCTAGCTAAGCACCAAAGTAAAAGGGCGTGGAGAAATTATAGGAATAACAGGACACTTAAGAGAAGAGAAAGATACCAGAGTTTCTGGAATGAATATGTCAGGATGAGAAGAGAAGCAGAAGGACAATACGAAAATGACATGGCAAGCAAGGCAAAGACTCAACCTAAATTGCTGCACAGCCACATCAGGAAAAAACAACAGTAAAGGAACAGGTAATGAAAATATGGATAAGGGGAGAAGGATTCACTACACACGACAAGGAAGTGTGTGAGGAATTGAATAAGAAATTCAAGGAGGTCTTCACTTTAGAGCAAGGAGAAATTTCAGAGATAAGAGAGAGAACAGTTAACCAGGAACCACTAGAAGAGTTTGAGATTACCAGCGGAGAAGCAAGGAAGTGTTTACTAGAGTTGGATGTGACAAAAGCTATTGGCCCAGATTGAATCTCCCCTTGGATACTAAAAGAAGGAAAAGGAGCAGAAGCACTGTGCCTACCACTCTCCATAGTGTATAGCAAATCACTGGCAACAGGAGAACTGCCAGAAATTTGGAAAGCAGCTAATGTAGTTCCGATATACAAGAAAGGGGATAGATAGCAGGCACTGAACTACAGGCCAGTGTCCCTAACCTGCATACCATGCAAGCTGATGGAGAAAGTTGTGCCAAGAAAGCTAGTGGAGCATCTGGAACAAAAGAACTTTGTAACAGCATCAACATGGGTTCAAGGATGGCTAGTCCTGCTTCACAGAGCTAATTGAATTCTACGACCAGGCAACAAAAATCAGGCAAGAAAGAGAGGGGTGGGCAGACTGCTATTTTTTTTGGATTACCAGAAAGCCTTTGATACAGTACCACACACGAGGCTAGTGAAAAAGATGGAGATACAGGCTGGAGTGAAAGGGAAGGTACTCCATTGGATAAGGGAGTACCTAAGCAACAGAAGACAACGAGTAATTGTGAGAGGTGAGGTCTCAGACTGGCGTGACGTCATAAGTAGAGTCCCGCAGGGGTCAGTCCTTGGACCTATACTGTTTCTGATATATGCAAATGATCTCCCAGGGGGTATAGACTCGTTTCTCTCAATGTTTGCTGATGAGGCAAAAATTATGAGGAGGATTGAAAAAGAGGATGATAGTAGGAAGCTACAGGACGACCTAGACAGACTGAATGAATGGTCCAACAAATGGCTGCTAAGTTTAACCCGAGTAAATGCTAAATAATGAAACTAGGCGGTGGAAACAGGAGGCCAGACACAGGATACAGAATAGGAGATGAAGTACTTAATGAAACGGACAGAGAGAAAGATCTAGGAGTTGATATCACACCAAACCTGTCTCCTGAAGCCCACATAAAAAGAATAACGTCTGCGGCATATGCGAGGCTGGCTAACATCAGAACAACGTTCAGGAACCTGTGTAAGGAATCATTCAGAATCTTGTATACCACATACGTAAGACCAATCCTGGAGTATGCGGCCCCAACATGGAGCCCGTACCTTGTCAAGCACAAGACGAAGCTGGATAAAGTTCAGAGGTATGCCACTAGACTAGTCCCAGATCTAAGAGGCATGAGTTACGAGGAAAGGCTGCGGGAAATGCACCTTACGACACTGGAAGACAGAAGAGTGAGGGGAGACATGATCGCTACCTACAAAATCCTCAGGGGATTTGACAGGGTAGACAGGGATAAATTATTCAACACTGGTGGTACGCAAACAATGGGACACAGGTGAAAACTGAGTACCCAAATGAGCCACAGGGACGTTAGAAAGAACTGTATCAGTGTCAGAGTAGTTAACAGGTGGAATGCATTAGGCAGTGATGTGGTGGAGGCTGACTTCAAACACAGTTTTAAATGTAGATATGACAGAGCCCAGTAGGCTCAAGAACCTGTACATTAGTTAATTGACAGTTGAGAAGCGGGACCAAAGAGCCAGTGCTCAACCCCCGTAAGCACAACTCGGTGAGTACACACCGACTGGTTTGGGTGCTTGTGCTGTTGAAGGGATGGGGAGGGAGGGTGTCAAGGACAAGGGAGAGAGAGGGAGATATCTAAGGGAAGAGGGGGGGGAGCTTGGTGTTTACCAGTTCAAACCCAATTTTCTGCAGCAAAGGTCACTCAGATTGGTTTATAACCTGCATGAAATATTTTAAGTTGCATCTAATTGAACTCTGTTACATAACCTGGTTTGCGAGCAAGATCTAAAACTCCTAAATTCAGAGCACATATATATAGGGAGATTAGGACTCGCTTCCGACCACCAAAATCACCGTGTGGAGTAAGACTCTGGCCATACATACTGTATCATAAACACTCTACTGTTATTCCCATACACAAAACACCGTATTCCTTACAAGGATGTCAATAGAGATATCTCTTAACATCCATATGGAAGATATTTTAAATCAGATCCCGAAACTGCTCAATAAAATGGCAACATGCTGGAGCGAGATATGGCAGGAAGTGAAAAATAAAGCCAATGAATGGAATATTTGCCTTTAGCATAGTTACAATACACACTGTAAACCTCAGAGGTCCACGACTCTCCAGTCTCCTGCCAATAAATATAAGTAATGTGTTGATAAGTAATGAAAGTAAAGTATCGAGCCGGTCGGCCGAGCGGACAGCACACTGGACTTGTGATCCTGTGGTCCTGGGTTCGATCCCAGGCGCCGGCGAGAAACAATGGGCAGAGTTTCTTTCACCCTATGCCCCTGTTACCTAGCAGTAAAATAGGTACCTGGGTGTTAGTCAGCTGTCACGGGCTGCTTCCTGGGGGTGGAGGCCTGGTCGAGGACCGGGCCGCGGGGACACTAAAAAGCCCCGAAATCATCTCAAGATAACCAAGATATCAATAGTAAGTAAAGAGCAGCACTTATATCTTCCTTGGGAGCAGAGGAGCTCTCGAAATTATCAATAGGTAACACATTATGTGCTAGCATAAAACTATTACTAATATGCTCATAATACAACCATTCACTCTACTACCATACAAACAGTACTACTACCATATACACACTACTACCATACAGGGGCCTCGCGGCTGAGTGGATAGCGCTCGGGGGTCGTAGTCCTAAGGGCCCGGGTTCGATTCCCGGCCGAGGAAGAAATAAGTGGGCAGAGTTCCTTTCACCCCGATGGGCCTGTTCACCTAGAGGTAAATAGGTACCTGTGAGTTAGAAAGCTGCTACGGGCTTCTTCCTGGGGATGTGTGTATGTATGTTCGAGAGAAATATATGTAGTAGATATAATAGAGAAAAATAGATTGGTTAGTAAGTCGGAGTCCAAGAGCTAATAGTTCGATTCTACTGACAAATAGTAAGCACACTACTACCATACACACGCTACCGTTCAGATAATGCTACTTATTCACAAATGGAGAGGACAAGACTGGCAAGCAAAATGCTACTCTGCAACCAGTAACATTCTGAACAACATCCCATGAACAATTTACTCACGTGAACAACTTACTCATCTTCGACTTTATGAGTCATTTTCAGCTTCACCAAACATCTTCAGCTTCACCAAACATCTTCAGCTTCACCAAACATCTTCAGCTTCATCAAACTAATCAGATAATTAACTAACGCTAGCACATAAAATAATACAGCATACAATACAGGTAATGTAGTATTACAGATACAGATAATATCGAGCCTCAGTGAATACATTTCACTCGATTTTTTTCTCTATTTGTTCCTCCTCTTCCTCTCACCTCTCCCTCATCTTCATCTTTTACTCTTTTTACTTCAATTTTCACCCCTCTTCTGCACCTCTACTTATTTTCCAACACTCATTATCCGCAGTAATCCCCCTGCCCTCTTCTCTACTGACTCCACATCCTTCTTCACTCCTCAGTCCGCCCCTTCTCCCTCTCCCCCCTTCTCTTCGTCCTCTAACTCCTCAGTTTCCCTTGTCTCCCTCCCTCCCTTTCCCTCTGTTCCTTCTCCTCTTACTCCTCACCCTTCCCTCAGCTCCTCTCTTCTCCGCCTCTCACTAACCTGCCAGGACTAAGAAGTATCTACACACCTCATTGTTGTTGTCGTGTGTGTGGATGTATTTGTTGACGTCTGAGGTCCTCATGCTGACGTCAGTAGTCCTCATGCTGATCTAGATGAGAGATTCGGCTCCAGTCTTAGTATGAGACATTAGTATGAGTAATCTCACTTTTGAGACGTTGTGGCTAGAGTGCATGGCTCCTAAGATGTCACTTCAATGATAACATATTCTAAGAAGTAATAAGAAGTAATGACGCACGTGAGAACTTTTTGAATTTCAGTTTATCTGCTAATCAAAGTTTAGGTGATATTACAATTATCTCGGAGCTTCCCAGACACGTAGCTACGGCCGGGTACCATGTCTCTCTGATTGGTGGAAGTTTGAATCCCTGTTGCCTTATCAGTTCACCCTTGTTCATCCATCAGGGATTGAGGACAGGGGCAAGATTCACGAAGCAGTTACGCAAGTACTTACGAACCTGTACATCTTTCCTCAATCTTTGACGGCTTTGGTTACATTTATTAAGCAGTTTACAAGCATGAAAACTTCCCAATCAACTGTTGTTATTGTTATAAACAGCCTCCTGGTGCTTCGGAGCTCATTAACCGTTTAATAATTGTAAACAAAGCCGCGAAAGATTGAGAAAATATATACAGGTTCGTAAGTGCTTGGGTAACTGCTTCGTGAATCTGGCCCCTGGTTATGAGAATGAAGCTGAACGTTGAAAAGACAAAGCTCCAGACATGCTCATAAGATCCAGAACTGGTCAGTTCTCATAACCACTTGCATAAGACAACATTTCCTGATTTTCTGCCTGCAGCCATCTAGACCGGTCGCTGGAGACTTGCTGGGTCGGGTCGCTCTCTCCCCGAAGAGAAGCTATCTTAAGATCTCGCTGTTGCTATCGGCCGGTAGATTTGCTGTCTGTCCTAATGTTAATATTTCAATCGTTAATGTTGCTGATGATGTTATCTTTAATTTTGTTATTTTTAACGTTGATTTTCACACAGAAATCACATTAACGTGATATCAATGAGAAAATCCACTGGGACTATAGGTGGCTGCGAACCATCGATGCTACTGCCGTTAATGCTGTTATTGCAAAGATTTTATTATTATTCTCCTGTTGTAAATAATGATGGAATCAGTTTGTCTCCTGTGTATTCCTTCCCATGTTGGTCTCCGGATGCACGATAGAACCGAGTTAGCTAAAACATTTGCTCGTAAAGAGGGAATTGATTACCATCTTGGATTGCCTTTAAGCAGCCTGAGGGCAGCAATATTTCCAGAACAGCATCCAAATTGAGAAGACTTGAGGCCAAATGAAATTGGTACCAGTTACTCTATCTTTCTATTATGCAGGAAGACCCTGTATATATAAATATAAATATATTATACAATTGTGAGGGTACCACCTCTAGTGCAAGTGTAGGGATCCATAGCCTCGGAGAAGAAGATTAAGAGTATTCAGTGAAGACCTTGTGGATTCTCACTGAACATTCTCTCTTTTTTGAGAGAGAATGTCTGTCCGAAGTTGGAGGCCAGAACCTTGGGAGTAGCATTACCCAAGATTGTAGAGGAAACGGCCTAGGGTTGAGGATGGACATAGGCTGGTCAGGGTAGACCGACTAATATTTAAGAAATATTAGTAATTATTAATCCCCCCCCCCCTACCAAATCACACCCGATTTTCACAGATTAAATTCTCGTTAAGTGCGAAATATTGGTCGAAATGCCCGAAGAGTTTCCATCAGAAAAATTATTTCCTTAAATGGTAGATAATCTGACCCTCCCCTTTCCCTCTGAGTTAGCATTGTTCTACTGAACAAGGTTGAGATTATTGTGGAGGACAGATTTGTTATCTTTGGATATATATATAATATATATAATATATATAATATATATAATATATATTTATTCCTGCACAGACGACGACTTGATAGAATGCTCCAGGTGTGTGTATTGATTTTTAAAACAAATTTATTTTGGATGCCAAAGCTTAGTGACGCTCAGAGGTTAAAAGGCTCGTGTGATTACAGTGATTAATTTTTCCTCATTAAGTGCAGAGATTAAGGGATATCTTACTAATTGTTTCTTAAAGATTTTGTTTGTTTTATCTAGCAGATTGTTTCCCTTTGGTGAGCGATTCGAGTAAAGTTCTGTCAGTATTTTAATTCAACTTGATTTTATGAAACATTGCGAGTCAGTAACGCCTCAGTCTGCTCTTCATTACTGCTTGCCCAAAACTCGAGCTGATTCTACACAAACCACAATCTTCACACTATGATGATTTCCAGGTTACATACGAGGCGGTGGGTTACTCTGGCAGTGTCTCTCGACGCCGGACGAATAGACCTGGGTCCAGAGTGTCTCCCTGAGGTGTACAGTGCCACTGCCGACGTAGTGACAAAACGGTAAGCGACGTCTACGGGCTCACCATAGCCCGTGCTACTTGGAACTTTGTTCCAAGTAGCGAATCTTCAACAACAACGACAAAACGGTGCTGTAGTAAGTCCATGCGAGTCTTTAAGGGGTATCTGGCCTCCCTGTTGTTTACGGTCACTGCAGTAAGCGCCACGAAAGTGAGCTGTTTTAGTCTCGTGATGGGCACTGGGGGGGGGCCAGTTATCAGTTGTTGGTGACCTGGGGCCAGATTCACGAAGCAATTACACGAGTACTTACGAACGTGTACATCTTTCCTCAATCTTGGACGGCTTTGGTTACATTTATTAAACAGTTTACAAGCATGAAAACTTCCCAATCAACTGTTTTTATTGTTATCAACAGCCTCCTGGTGCTTCGGAGCTCATTAACTGCTTAATAATTGAAAACAAAGCTGCGAAAGATTGAGAAAAGATATACAGGCTCGTAAGTGCTTGCGTAAAAGCTTCGTGAATCTGGCCCCCCTGCTTCGGGAGACGGTGGTCCAAGAGGTCGACGAGACGTTTACTGGTTAAGGTCTCTAGACGAATTCTCCACTCTATTCCATTGCACTTGAGAGACCCATGGGGAGTCAGATGTCTTTCAGGATGGTACTGGGATTCCTTTAGCAGTGAAATGCAATGGGGTAGTGTGCAACAAGTGTGATAAATGCTAGAGAAGTTCCATGACAACGGGTCTACTCGCTTAACAACAAATTAAAACATGCCTCTCATACCTACACAAAAATAGCATAGTTCATCAGAATCAGTGAAATCTGGACAGCATCTCTCCAAATATTGTGGTCAACCAGATTATTATATCATTCAGCGCAGAGGAATAACACTGGACGCAAAATACAGGGGAAAAAAAGAAGATAAATCACCTTGAACTCTTGTTAAATTATGGATCACACAAATAGTATAATTTATCCTGCATTGAGCAACGTAGAAACGTGTTATGTCTTGAGGTAATCTGGGAGATTATCAGCAGCACATCTGAAGCCGATTTGGCTGCCGGAGCTGTCTGGGGTGTTGGCATCCCTATCAGCGCAGCTATATCTGTTTAAAGAGAATAATGACATATATCATTCGCTATATTTATTTTATCGATATCTATGTATTATTTATACAGTCACTTATAATAAATTGCCATAACTAAAACATTGGATTATCTATACCTATAGGAGGGAATGTCTGTATTCACGTAGTTGTGCTTCCGGGGGTTGAGCTCTGCTTCTTTGGTCCCGCCTCTCAACCGTCAATCAACTGGTGTACAGGTTCCTGAGCCTACTGGACTCTATCATGTCTACTCTTGAAGCTGTGTATGGAGTCAGCCTCCACCACATCACTTTCTAATGCATTCCATTTGTCTACTACTCTGACACTTAAAAGTTCTTTCTAATATCTCTGTGTATCTGAGTGTGTGTTCAAAGTTGGAGGCCAGAAGCTTATGGCTAGCCTCCCAAAAATTTATAGTTTGATATAATATTGACTATACTGGTATTCCTCAGATATATATATATATACTTAAACCGAATTAAAAACTGTCCAATTGTTAAGAAACAGTTACAATAAAAAATAACTGACAGACAAGTGTGTTTACAGGATGCTGTGGCGGGGATGAAGATCACTAAAGACTGAACCATTAGTAAACAAACGGGAAGGTAACAAGTACATTACCTGTAGCCGACGTTTTGTTTACACCTCCTTGCTTCCCCCTTGATGACTCTCAGCTCATCAAACGTCACGTTCCCCTGTTAATTATACATGTGCTTGTTAATGGTGTGGTGTTTAGAGGTGGGGTTGTTTACAGTGTAGCTTCGTTAATAAGTAGGTTTGTTTACAGTGTAGTTTCGTTAATAAGTAGGTATGTTTACAGTGTAGGTTCGTTAATAGGTAGTGTTGTTTACAGTGTAGGTTCGTTAATAGGTAGTGTTGTTTACAGTGTAGGTTCGTTAATAGGTAGTGTTGTTTACAGTGTAGCTTCGTTAATAAGTAGGTTTGTTTACAGTGTAGCTTCGTTAATAGGTAGTGTTGTTTACAGTGTAGCTTCGTTAATAAGTAGGTTTGTTTGCAGTATAGGTTCGTTAATAGGGAGGTTTGTTTACAGTATAGGTTCGTTAATAGGTAGGATTGTTCACTTTTATGTTGAGAGGCATGTTTGTTGACAGGTATACACATGTTTACAAGTGTGCTTGTTTTCATGTATGTTTACAGTAATATATTCATGTTTAAAAATATATATTTGCACAACATTTCCTTCCTTTCACAATTATTTAAATTTAGTTAAAACATGTTTTTCTTATTTTTGTACCTTTGGTATTGTTTCCTCGACCAATTTGGCCATCAGAGTGACAATTTTTGACCCGTAGTATAGTATTAGTGCAATACTTTGCATCTGAGACTAAGCAAGCTTTGAGTCACTATAACTTGCCTAAAGTATGTTGACCAGACCACACACTATAAGGTGAAGGGACGACGACGTTTCGGTTCGTCCTGGACTATTCTCAAGTCAATTGATATACTACAACTATACTGATATACTGGAGGTGAATCGACTTGTGAATGGTCCAGGACGGACCGAAACGTCGTCGTCCCTTCACCTTCTACTGTGTGCTCTGGTCAACATATCCAAGACTAAAATTGATCTTGTGCAGTACTGAATAATAATTAGGGTGACATATATGCAAAGGAACACAGGATTAAGGGCGTACCGGATTAGTGTAAGGACCGGGATAATCGCTTTCCAGAAACAAGTCAGACGTCCACTCCCAGACGTTGCCCAACATATTGTGGAGGCCGTAACCGTTAGGCGCGTGTGATGTCACTGGACAATTGACCGCGCAGCCGTCTTCTCCTGTGACTTCGAAGGGGAATGTTCCCTGCCACATGCTGGCCCTGATAGTCAGATGAGACGGGGGCACTTTCATGAGGGATGTGTTTACAGTTTATGTACAATGAAAAATTTATGTTTACTAAATAATAACATGCAGCTTCTTATTTAACTTGGTAGAACCATATTATGATGCTTCCTATATCAACGAGTTAGAGTTTTAAAAATCTCTTTAAACCCTCGTTAAAACCTAGAGTAATGCAACTTTTTCGTTTCTTGTTGTCTGGGACAGGCAGCCCGTGTATGTATATACCTTAGACTTGTATCGAGTTCCCCCCCTCCCCTAAGGTCAAACTAGAGACCCTTCCCAAGATGAACCCCACAACAGTTACCTACCTCCCAGGTACCGATTTTGCGCCTGGTGAACATAAGCATTAGGTGAAAGGAATCTTGCCCACCCGAGCGTCATTATGTGAGAGTAACAACAGTGTTGTACAATACCTGAACTGATTGTTTGGCATATATTTGTCGCCAGTGGAAAATATCAATTCGTGTATTCCGGCCTTACAGGCTCTCTCCCACTCCGCCTCTGTTGGGAGTCTCTTGCCCATCCAGGAGCAGAACGCTCCCGCATCGTTCCAGGACACGTGAACAACTGGATAGTCCATACGACCTGGAAACACAAGAACAAAATACGTGGTGTAGTCTTTATAAATAAAATGTTAATATATATACATGTAAAGGCTGTACAAATTTGATCTCACCAAAGGAGTACCAGAATTGACGAGTGAGGACTAACGTGACGACTGAGGACTCACCGGACAAATGACGAGTGTGGGCTGGCCGGACAACTAATGGCTGCCCGGAAATCTGCAAACTGACCAGGCAACTGTAGAGTAAGTGCTGTTCGGGAAAACTAAGGAACGACCGGAAAACTGAACGAGTGCAGATTGACCGGACAGTTGACTAGTGAGGACTTACCAATTAACCGACGACTGCCTGGACAAACGGATCTTATCAATATTTAAGTAGCAGTCCATGCAAGATTGTCATCAACAATCGGTCCTTCCTAGGATAGCGTACCCCCAGGGTAGTGTACTCATGTCTAGCTACGAAAACGCAGCTGGCGGCTCCTTGGAAATCCGACTGGCCTGTCCCACCAGTGGGTCTCGTACTGCAGGCGAGTAAGAGGATGGAAAGCAGCGATTTACACCCGACTTACGGAGGCGCGTTTTCCCGTCACCTAAGCTGAGAATACTGCGCCACTTTTCCACTACCATTGTCATTTTATGATACTGTTAGTGTAATTTTTGCCCTTGTGTAGTAAATGAACACGACATTATCTATGACACCTTACCTGTGATATTTGAGTCCAGCCCTTCAGGATGCCTCCAATCAGCTCCCTTCACAGGGAGTTGCCACGTCATCTCAAGAAAAGATTCATATATTGTGGATTTGACTTCTTCTGATAACTCACTCTCATCTCCAATCGATTCACCAAACTTCTCAGCCTGTTAAGCAAACAGATAGCTTTGACACAAGTTACAATATGTATGAGATATATAATATATAATATGTATAAATTACGATCATTAACACGTGATGAAAAATGTGACAGTGTCAAACCACGAATTAAGGATTGAAACAAGAATTTTCTTAAGTATTTTCGTATATAATAACACATCTTCAGAAGGATCCTACTGAAGATGTATTGTTAAATGCGAAAGTACTTAAGGAAATTCCCGTTTCAATCCTTCCCGATCTGACACTGTCATAATATAAAATGTGTATTATATAAAATAAATACCTCTGTCGTGTAGCTATTTGCCTCAACAAACAGTTCAAATTCAGCATTAGACACTGCGTAGACATCCATATAAAAGGTATCCATCTCAACCCATCTGGCGGCGATGTCTCGCTCAGCACGGAGTACAGAGTCGTTGTTTCCCTTCACAAACTTCCCTCCAGGGATCTCCACCATCTGCATGGTACGTCTCGACCCATCCACAGCCTTGGCCGCTTGGACAAATCTACGCTCAGATTTACTATCCAGAGAATCTGCTATGGCTTTACCAACGTGTTCAGATGTACTTCCAAACCTGTTATCATCTTGTGGGGTTCTGTGGTGTTCATTACTGACACACTGATTGACTGCTCCAAGTCCAAGCACTAATAAAGTCCAATATTTGATAAATGGCATGATTTTTTGGCAAAAATATTTTTATTATTTTTTTAGATAATGCAATCTGAAAAGAGAGAAAGTTTGGCTTAGAATCATTAGGTAGAAAATATCCAACTTATGAAAAAGTACAAATATTCAAAATAGGATTTCATCGTAAGGGGTCGATTGATAAATATATCTTGTGGTCGGTGAATTATGATACGAACAAGGGTGGTGTGATGAGTACAGGGTGGTGTGATGAGTACAGGGTGATGTGCTGAGTACAGGGTGGTGTGATGAGTACAGGGTGGTGTGATGAGTACAGGGTGGTGTGATGAGTACAGGGCAGTGTCATGAGTACAGGGCAGTGTCATGAGTACAGGGCAGTGTCATGAGTACAGGGCGGTGTAACGAGTTTAAATAATATAAAGCAATCCTCACCTCGCACAATCCTTCAATTCACACAATCCTCACCGTACATGACTAAGTGAAGAGCTTCACTGTACAACCCCCCCCCCCCCCGTCCCTCTCACCGCACACAACCCCTCACTGTTCATGACAAGGTCAAGCTCTCCCCTCGCCTGACGGCTCCACATACCACTAACACAGGTAACACACACAACAGAGGTAACACTAACAGCCTTGACGAAGGTGCAGGAGCAACAACAGTTGTGAGCGCGAGGCGTCGCTGGAGTGAGGAGAGACAGAGAGTGTGTGGCTCTAGGATACATTGGTCCCCCCTCCAGCCGCAGCACAGTGTTATCTGGGCACACTTGCTCTGTGTTCACCTCCTTTATTCATTATTATTTCATCATTACGTTGTATAACGTGTTAACTCTACCCACAGATACGAGGCTTCCGGGGGCCACTCAATCCGGAGTAAAGAAGAAAATGTATAGATTGGCCGTGTTTGTAGGAGAAACTAAACTAAATATTATAAAATAAGACATCTTGGTGGTAACACCCGCAACTCGTCCCCCCTTACAAGACGATAACCTTGAACATGTTCAGTCGAACTACTGGAAGATATACGTCAACATTCTTGAAAACACAGGGCAATTGCAGCTTCATTAGTACAAAGGTAACTTGAAGGAAGAGTTTTTCAAATTCACATTTAATTAAAAAAATTGTTTAAATATTCAGATTTTATTTCTTTCATTTTCTTGTATTCAGGAGAGTAGACATGTGGATCGTGTGACTTCCAGCAGCACACTGGAGGCTCGTGTACACTGTGCTCTTTGTTACTCGGTGTTTACACACACACACACACACACACACACACACACACACACACACACACACACACACACACACACACACACACTACTGAGCCAGTAGGCTCAGGAATCTCTACACCAGTTGATTTACAGTTGAGAGGCGGGACCAAACAGCCGAAGCTCAACCCCCACAAGCACAAATAGGCGAGTATAAATAGGTGACAAATAGGTGAGTACACACATATATTAGGCAATGATGTGGTGGAGACTGACTCCATACACAGTTTTAAATGTAGATATGATAGAGCCCAGTAGGCTCAGGAACCTGTACACCAGTTGATTGACAGTTGAGAGGCGGACCGAAAGATCAGAGCTCAACCCCCGCAAGCACAACTAAGTGAATACAACAAGGCTAGTAAAGCGAGGCATGGGATGGGGGGGGGGGTGTTATATGTAAACTGTGTATGTAAATATATATATATATATATATATATATATATATATATATATATATATATATATATATATATATATATATATATATATACTGCTGCTTCCAGCCCTACTGACTTCAGTAGGGTTTTCCTGACGTCCTATCAGGAAAGTCTATAAATATAACACATGTTATTTGGGTTAAATAGGGTTTTCCTGACTTCCTGTGGCTTCAGTGGGATTCCTAAGTAGTGTAACTGATACATTGTTGTGGTACAGGGGTAAGGTCCACGGCTGGGAAAACCCTGGTTGCTGGTTCAAGTCACCTCATGGCTCCACTTATCTGATTAGTGAGAAACAACTGACACAAATAATATATAAAAGACAATAAGATTAGCAACAATAATGTACAAGTAGGCGTGAAATAATTAAAACTCTTACTTCTCTATAGGTTCCTTCCCTTCCTCTCACCCCCCTCCCTCTACTCCATCCAAGCAACAGCCTGGTGGACCAAACTCTTGCAAGTCAAGTCTGGCCTCGGGCCGGGCTTGGGGAGTAGCTCCCAGAACCCCATCAACCAGGTATCAACCAGGTATCAACCAGGTATCCTTCACCCCTCCTCTCCCTCTTCTGCGTCCCTTCCCACTCTCCCCAATCTTCTCCACCTGTTGCTCCTCTCCCATCTCCTCTATCTCCTCTGCTAGGACTGAGAAGCAAGGGCACATCTTATGGTGGTCAGTCGAGGAGTCTGGATGTGTTTGTCGACTCCAGTTCCCATGCTGATTTTGACGAGAAATCCGGATCCAGCTGGACCGTTCGCGTGCTGGGGCTTCAGTATAAACAATCTCTTCCCCTACACTTCAGGCAATGCGGATTGAGCGCATGGCAGCCTAGCTAACTCTCCAACCTGACGCACACAACAAAAAATACGACCTATTAGAAAAAATATATTTATACACTTTATGTACAAGATATTTTCGTTTTTCCAATTCTAAGTTATCAACCTTCCAAGTTTTACAGATGCAACTTTTATCTCCGAAGCTTTGAAGACCACCTACAGTCAGGGTGACCCCATGGTAAGTGCGTGTGTGTGCCCGATTGGTAGGAAACATTTCCTGGTATACCGCCTGGAGCAAAGCTGGACACTGCGCTTCAACTCCCTCTCTCCTTTTTCGAAGCTTTCAAACAACTTTTTCTCTCTTGTTCTACTTTGTCTGCGAGACGCTGTTGCTGCTTGGTCGATGGAGGAGTTGCTGTTGAAGGTGCAAATGTGAACGTTGCTGTTAATACTGCTATCTTTAATGCTGTTAATACTGCTATCTTTAATGTTGTTGATGCTGCTATCTTTAATGTTGTTAATACTGCTATCTTTAATGTTGTTGATGCTGCTATCTTTAATGTTGTTAATACTGCTATCTTTAATGCTGTTAATACTGATATCTTTAATGCTGTTAATACTGCTATCTTTAATGCTGTTAATACTGCTATCTTTAATGCTGTTAATACTGCTATCTTTAATGCTGTTAATACTGCTATCTTTAATGCTGTTAATACTGCTATCTTTAATGCTGTTAATACTGCTATCTTTAATGCTGTTAATACTGCTATCTTTAATGCTGTTAATACTGCTATCTTTAATGTTGTTGATGCTGCTATCTTTAATGTTGTTGATGCTGCTATCTTTAATGTTGTTGATGCTGCTATCTTTAATGTTGTTGATGCTGCTATCTTTAATGTTGTTGATGCTGCTATCTTTAATGTTGTTGATGCTGCTATCGTTAATGATATTATTAAAGCTGTCGATCTTGATGTTATTAATATTGTTCTTGGCATTGATGCTTCTGTTATGTGTTTGAATTCTTAATGTTATTGTTAATGCTGCTGTTGTTAAATTACATTGTTAATGTTATTGTGGCGGCTATAATGTTGATGTTGGTAATGATACTGTTGATGCTCTTGTTTACTGTTGCTCCTGTTGATGCTCTTTTGTTTACTGTTGCTCCTGTTGGTGCTCTTGTTTGCTGTTGCTCCTGTTGATGCTCTTGTTTACTCTTGCTCCTGTTGATGCTCTTGTTTGCTGTTGCTCCTGTTGATGCTCTTTTGTTTGCTGTTGCTCCTGTTGATGCTCTTGTTTGCTGTTGCTCCTGTTGATGCTCTTGTTTACTGTTGCTCCTGTTGATGCTCTTGTTTGCTGTTGCTCCTGTTGATGCTCTTGTTTGCTGTTGCTCCTGTTGATGCTCTTGTTTACTCTTGCTCCTGTTGATGCTCTTGTTTACTGTTGCTCCTGCTGATGCTCTTGTTTACTGTTGCTCCTGCTGATGCTCTTGTTTACTGTTGCTCCTGTTGATGCTCTTGTTTACTGTTGCTCCTGCTGATGTTCTTGTTTACTGTTGCTCCTGTTGGTGCTCTTGTTTACTGTTGCTCCTGTTGATGCTCTTGTTTACTGTTGCTCCTGTTGATGCTCTTGTTTACTGTTGCTCCTGCTGATGCTCTTGTTTACTGTTGCTCCTGCTGATGCTCTTGTTTACTGTTGCTCCTGTTGATGCTCTTGTTTACTGTTGCTCCTGCTGATGTTCTTGTTTACTGTTGCTCCTGTTGGTGCTCTTGTTTACTGTTGCTCCTGTTGATGCTCTTGTTTACTCTTGCTCCTGTTGATGCTCTTGTTTACTGTTGCTCCTGCTGATGCTCTTGTTTACTGTTGCTCCTGTTGGTGCTCTTGTTTACTGTTGCTCCTGCTGATGCTCTTGTTTACTGTTGCTCCTGTTGGTGCTCTTGTTTACTGTTGCTCCTGCTGATGCTCTTGTTTACTCTTGCTCCTGTTGATGCTCTTGTTTACTGTTGCTCCTGTTGATGCTTTGTTATTGTTACTCCTGTTGATGCCCTTTTGTTACTGTTGCTCCTGTTTCCTGTTGCTCCTGTTGATGCTCTTTAGTGTCCTCGTGGCCAACGTCTCTGCAGAATTTTTTTTAACTTTTTCAAACAGTGTTTGCCAGAAATTACCTGACGAGTCACCGTCTCAAGTGGTCTGGAGAGGGACAGGCAGACGGTTGCTTGTCAGAGTTCCACCTCCATTATTTTTTAGGGATTTATTTTCCAACTTATGATCTGTCTTGTGTTTACCCTATGTGAAAAATATATATATATCAATTCAACACTGTTGAGGTTGAAGCCGTTTCATCTTGTGGGGGTTACAGTGGACCCTTTTAAGTGGTCTAGATAAATGTGTATTATTACTATCCTCTTTATTACACCTTACCTTTTGTACCTTTTGCCTGGCCTTTTCTTCCTCCAAGATTTTCTTCTCGCCTCTTCTCTTGCCTATTTAATGCCTCGCCTCCTTCCCTTATCTTACGGGCTCACCATAGCCCGTGCTACATGGACACTTCGTTATGAGTAGCTAAATCTGAAAACAACAACAATTCTCTTATCACATTACGGGCTATTCATGCCCGTGCTACCTCTTGTGTGTGGCTTAATCTTTATCTATCACTCAATTCCTTATCTCAATTGACTTGAGAATGGTCCAGGACGGACTGAAACATCGTCGTCCCTTCACTTTCTAGTGTGTGGTCTGGTCAACAAATGTGAACTAGTTTGTTCAGTATTGTGAATGTTCGTGAGACCAGTTTTGTTGTGTGTTGCTTGTAGACTTGTTAGTTCCGAGGCTCTTAGGCGTTCCTGTTATAATAATTGTCTAACAAATCCACAGGGGCCGTGACGAGGATTCGAGCCTACGTCCGAGATCATCCCAGACGCTGCCTTTATCGATTGAGCTACGACATGGTCAAAAAAAAAGAGAGTTGAAACCTGTCAATTTATTCATTTGATGCATTACGCTATTGTGAATTGTATGTGTAAAGAATTGTCTTATTTCTTGGGCGATTTTTAATTCTCCGTGCTGAACCCTGCCCAGTGTAGTTATATAATTTTCTGTGACCGAAGTTTCCAGGCCTCTTGGGTGTTATAGTCCAGAAGGGACCAAAGGCGGCGTTTGTATAGATGAATGTCCACTTTAATTTTCCTTGAAGTCAAATATTTTATTATTCCTATGGGTTTTGTTTACGTTTTTACTGATCCTACTTATTGGGCAACTTTCCATGACTGGAGAACCATTACTCTGAGGTCCTTTATTATTTTTATTCTGCTGTAATGTCGTATTGATGGTATGGCAGTTGTGACGTGTATTGTTATGCCTTCACTTTAAGGTCTTCCATTTGTCATTATTTACAAGAATTTGCTAGTCGTCTTAACTTGAAACAAGTTCATTAAAAACCCTTTGTAAAATCTGAATAAAATTTTTACTTTCTAATTTCAAGTACATTTTTGTGTCATCGGCGAATTTTATGATGTGGTTGGTAATATTGGCATACATGACATTAATATATATTAAAATAGGCTCGGCCTTAAAATAGAACCCAGCAGCACTGCACTTATAAACGTTTTTCCAGTCAAATTTTCTCCTATCTAAGATAACCAATTTCTTCCGGCGATTTATTCATTCTTTTATCCATTCTCATTTCACCGGTGAGTATGTACTTGCCGTTTCTGTATCAGTCTTTCGCGTAATGCTTAAATGAATGTAAAATTTAGGTTAGAGAGATTGATGCCGAGTCGAGACCAGTGCCTAACTGTTGAGCTACACAGTAATGACTGCTAGTAAACGTCATTAAGCAAATTCAGTTGAACTTGTTTCTATACGGTTTTGCAATTTACGTCAGTGATCACGTAATGCTAGTTTCCTAGCAGCTGAGGGTACAAGGTCATGTCAGACTCCATCATTGTTGTGGAGGAAGGTGGAGTATCAGGCATTAACCGAGTCTTCCACTGTTAAATATGAATGGAATTCCGGGTCTTCCCAGGGCGTTCCGTTGTGAAAGGGTCGAGTATTGGCTAGAAGTGTTTGGGGACTTCGGCAGGTCATTAATTTATGAGAAAGTGAGGACGCAGTGAACTTCACTTAAAGATGCCAGTGTTTATCGGCATCACTCAATAGTAACTGAAGTTTAAGAAAAGCAATATTGCTAACAGCTTTGAAGATAAGTCATAGAAAACTAAATTAGGGATCCACCCAGGATGCTAAATACATTCTAGACATTTTCTAAATCATTTTTATGAAAGTCTGGGAACACTTTACAAGTAAACGCTTCACAAAGCTCCACGAGTCCTAGACGCGTCTTCTAGTTCTTGAGGTAATCTGGGAGTTTATCAGCAGCACATCTGAAGCCAACGTTGCCGCCGGAGCCATCTTGAACGTTGTTGGTTCGCGCCCCGCACCTGTACCTGGTGGCCCATACACAACATGGTGTCATGATAACGTTCTTCTCCACTAGCTTATTATCCATATTCACACAAGACCTCTTACATTCTTTAACAGCCACTAAAACGCATAGCGTTTCGGGAAAGTCCTTAATACTATATTTTTTTTCCTGGAATACGACCCGCCAAATCGTTTAACAACCAGGTACCTAGTCACTGTTGGGGGAACAGAGGCTACAGTTAAGGATTGGCGCCCGGTCAATCCTCCCCAACCAGGATTCGAACCAAGGTTAAAACGCTCGCGAAGCGCCGGGCGAGTCTTTTACCACTGCGCCACGGGGACTGCAAACTGTTGTTTAATCAGCTTTTTCCAGAAACTATAATTGCCACACGAGAGAGAGAGACAGAGATGGAAAAGTAAGAGAAAGTATAGGTAAGGAAGGGAAAGAGAGAGGGGAACAAAGACAAAAAAAAAACACGTTAGATGATGTGAAAATTAGTCATAATACCAAGAAAAGGTGAACACATCAACTTTTACGCAACAATCCTCAACTCTTGAGTTCTTTATCATCAAATGTAACACTTTAACACGTTTCTTAAATTCCCGTTTTGTTATTTTTAGTCAGTTTTTTATTATATACAAAATAGTAGACTATCAGAGTAATACGACAACACTATATTATCATAACTAAAATACAAGATATATATTCCCAACATAAAGATTTAATATATAATATTTAAACAAAAATTCCTTAGAATTAAAATATGTTACGAAATAATGACCATATAAAAAAATAAAAATGACCTTAAAAAGGTGTTTTAAATGAATAATAATAAAGTCTGTTCATGAATAATAGAATCAAAAGTGGTATTAACGGAGGCACAGTACCTGTAACAAGTGTCTTGCTTACACATGTAGGAGCCTCCCTTTGTCACCTTTGTCTCTCCTGTCCTCGGGCCCAGCTGGTAATTGTAGAAAGTAAATAATTATCAAAGAAGGCACCAAGCCGGAAAGGCTATGTAACACCATGGTAATTACAGAAAAATAATTTACAATTGCACAGGTATATGTTAAGAATTTACCTTTAGTCATCAGATGTATGTTTACGAGTATACACGTTTACAGGTATGCATACAGAGGTGTATTTGAAAGGCACAAGGAGAGTTGAGGAACAAGGCAGCAGTTTCTGAAGTGTGTTTCACATGTTTGTAAACAAATATGTTGCCAGCTGTTGAAACTAGCTACAAGGTACTACATCGAAGAGGGGGGGGGGGGAAGGCAGGGCATAAATCCTTACAAATGATCCTGCATTAATGTCAGACTCGTAAAATAGGCTGGATGAATCTTAGTGAGGATGGAAACTGGTATTTTGCGAGAATGAAATTTGGGATCATTTTCAGTTACTTACACAGAGCAACCTGTCCTCTTAAAAATAACGTCGCTTTTGGCCGTTTGCCCGTGTGGCCGAAAGTGGACGTAATTTGAATATGAAAAAATGAAAATAAATGATATTTTTTTCTCAACAACAGTTAAGTGCCCTCCGATAGGTTAGGGGGGCAGGAAATTCTCAAAGTTTCAAAACGTTTTTCATAAACGATAATTGAAAGTTTCCTCTCCTAACCTTTCCGAGTAAGCCGGGCGACTCAAACAGAAAACGGGAATGAACGTCGCTTTCATGAGCCGATTTAATTTCAAATTACGTTCACTTTTGGCCATAGCGCGCATACGAGCCAAAAGCGACGTTATTTTTAAGAGGACGGGTTGCACAAAGAGGGTGGGATGGGGGATGGGGATGGAGAACCCCGAGCCCCATCAAGACCTACCCCCCCTAACACTCGCCAGTCACCCTGCAAAGTTAGGTAAAGGGTCGCCCCCCACACCTCTACCCTCAAACCGTGGCTAGACAGAATCCTATTATATATTTTATTATCACTACCACCCTTGCTACTGCTTCTGTTTAAGTCTATGGTTAGTTATCAGTGTAAAATAAGCAAACACGATAAAGTACATAAAAAGATGCAATAGTATTATATACTGCGCTTCTAAATTAAAACTATTGTTTTTAACCATGAAAATCTATTATTATCTCAGGTGAGGTAAGGTAATTATCAATTATCAGGAGAAAGTACTAAGCCAGAATATCACATGAAAGGGGGCAAGAGGTCTTTGAGTTGGTTTAGGACGGTTAAAGATCAATTTATCATCTGAGGATAGTGAGGCTGCAGGTACTAGCTACTGGAAGCAGGTATAAGGGACGTACTGGGTTACTGTGGAGAGGTGAGGAGTGACGAGTCCCCCACCAGTCAGCCGTCCACTCCCAGACGTTGCCCAACATGTTGTGTAGACCGTAACCATTAGCCGGGAAGCTGGTCACCGGACACCGCCCAACACAGCCATCTTCTCCCGTGTCTTCCTTGGGGAAATTTCCCTGCCATATGTTGGCCCTGAGAGTGAGACAACACCTCTTTAGTGGCACCTTTAGTGACACCTTTAGTGGCACCTGTCTCCTTATTCTTGCCATACAATGACAGTTCATAATATCCAAGCAGCGAAAGGTCAAATAAATATAATACAGTTGTTGCATGAGTTAGTACGAGGTAGTTACCTGTATTCGTTGTTTGGCATAAACTTATTGCCCCAAGAATAGAGCCTCTGGTGTTTGCCGGCTCTACAGGCTCTCTCCCACTCCGCCTCTGTCGGGAGTCTCTTGCCCATCCAGGAGCAGAACGCTGCCGCATCGTTCCAGGACACGTGGACAACTGGATGGTCCATACGACCTGGAAACACAAGAACAAAATATGTAGTAGATAAAATTTTAACAAAAATTGCGGGGTTTTTTCCATACCAGTAAAAAGCACCCGAACAAGCGAGATGTGAGCACATGGAACAGTAAAACAAATATCAACATTCAGGTACGGATTGCCTACTCTCAGATTTAATATAGAAACCTGATTAATGTTTCCTTGTTATTCGTCACGAAAAAAATAAAGTTTCGTACAAATGTTTGTTACGTATTCACAACAAACAAATGCCAATTGAACTTCCCTGAATTGTCTGATGCCTCACTTCCGCAGAAGTAATTACCAAACAAATGTACAAGAAATTAAACCAAATAGCTTGTGGTTTACGAGGGAACAAACTTCTTGGATGTTTGAAAATGAGTTATAAATCACCATTTATCACGACAAAGTGTCATTGCATTAAGTGCACATGGATGGACGGAGGACGGAGCCCAACCATCTATTTGGATTGCCGGGGATCGAATCCCGACCTGCAAGAAACAAGGTCCTCGCTGCTAACCAAAATTCCTTACAGCGAGATGAAATTTTCAAGCGTTTCCGTTGTGCCCCTATCTAGCATCTTCCTTGTTAGCTTGTCAAATAAGTTGTCTAAACCTCAATACTCTATTTAAATAACTGAAATGGTTAATTAGAATTTCCCCAATAAACTTTCAGGAATGAAATCACGTTTATATTTTTAACACTTTCCGGTATCTAAAATGCATTATATAATATATATATATATATAATGCATTTTAGATACCCGATAATGCATTTAGATAAATATATGAATTTTGTGTAGTATATTGAAAGATGTTTGCAGTGACAAACAGTACCTAAAATTGTTCAACTTTTCTGGGCTGTGATGGAAAATATGTCTCATCGAACCCTGCCATAATGAAACAAATATAAATTGATTCCTCACTGTATCGGTAACACCTTACTTGTGATATTGGAGTCCAGGCCTGCAGGATGGTCCCACGAAGCCCCCTTCACAGGCAGCCACCACGGGGTACCGCCAACAGCTTCAAATATCGTGGACTGAGTGATTGCTGACAACTCCCTCTCAAGCACCATTGATTCGCCAGCCGTCTCTGCCTGTGTAGTTTATAAATATCTTTGTGACGGTAGCAACAAATTATACAAGATTATGGGGGCAAAGATTAATATTTTGACATTAAATAACTATGTTAAATAGCTTAAAACTTGGCTCAAACACCAATGTAAACAAATATCCATAACTTACTGGAAACGAGTCTTTCTGACTGTTACCATGTATTGTACACAAAGAAACCTAACAATAATACGGCTTTGTATATCCAACATGATCGGAATCATTTTCTAATAATGTAAACTAACATCTATGAACACAGAAGGCACTAACAACTCACTATCACGATGCGTGGCACCACACTTGAACCATTCGTGGCAGCTCCTGTTTATATTCACCCAAACACATTCATATACATGTTTAACCTCAACCCTCCCTCATCAATAAACGTCAAATGCTTGTTATTCCAGCCGCCAAACCCACTGTTCATGAATCAAGAATGGTTAACACACGACTCGACTGATGACGTTCGAACACGTCTTGAACAGTGCTTTGCCGACGACCTCTGTTCGAATCGCAACTCTTAAATGCTTCACCCACGTACTTCAAATACAAATAATCGCCAACAGAACATAAACACATAACCTATGCCTAACTATACATAGAACTTAAATGTAATAATATTAACTTATACGAGAACAAACCTATGTTTAATACTCAATATATTAAAATTTATGTATGCATCTTGGAGGGACGCCGCTGTTTTAACGAGCCTGGCCTGAGGACGGGTTGTTAACCTACACTTGAAACACTGTAGATGCTCCCCCTACCTGCACAAGACAGACAAGGGAGTACAAGTACACTAAATCACACTAACCTGAAATGGTCGAGCCAAGAAAATTAATATTGATGTTCAAAACACTAGCAACTCCTCAGGAACACTAATCATGCCATTAACAAGCAAGTAACACTAATCATGGTAACACAAACACTCAGGAACACTAATCATGCCATCAACAAGCAAGTAACACTAATGGTAACACAAACACTCAGGAACACTAATCATGCCATCAACAAGCAAGTAACACTAATCATGCCATCAACAAGCAAGTAACACTAATCATGGTAACACAAACACTCAGGAACACTAATCATGCCTACAACAAGCTAGAGAGTTTGTACCCGATGCAGAAGTTACTGTCTACACTTGTCGACACAATCATATTAAAAAACGTCTTAAAAATACAAGCAGTTTCATCAATATATAGTGCTGGACAGTTAAAAAAAAAAAAGTCAAATTCATAAAATGAATAAAGCAACGAAGTGAGAATTAGAAATTGATTATAGTGAATAATATCAACTAAGTATACCATTAAAATAACGGGAAAACTGTAGCCATAAATAATAAAATATAGTAAAGCCTTTCTTTTCTACCCTATTCAATTTTAACACTAGTAAGAGAACAACTATGAAGTGTATCAAAACATTAAAGAGAATAAGTAATTCACTTACTTCTGTCTCGTAGCTGTTTGCCTTAACAAACACCTCGAAGTCTGCATTAGATACCTCGTGGACATCCATATAGAAGGTATCAATCTCCACCCATCTGACAGGGGTTTCTCCATCATCATGGAATCTGGAGTCATTGGTGCCCATAACAAACTTGCCTCCGGGGATTTCCACCATCTGAATGGTCCGTCTCGAGCCGTCCACAACGTTGGCCGCCTGGCCAAACTTGTATCTTGGTTGGTTGGTCAGATAATCTTCTGTGGTCTTATAGTAAATTTCATCAGTTTGGAGAACTTGTCCATCGGAACGTGTCCTGCCGGAGGAACCACACCCACAGGAACTCCCTGACGTGTTAGTGTTCCCCTGTGGTGTTCCAAATGTTTCATTTCCGAGGCAAATATTGATCGTTCCATATCCCAGAAATAACATGATCCAATATTTGGTTTCTGACATTATGACGGCTTTTTTCGTATAGTTATAAATAAACTTATTTCAACCAGATGAAATCTGAAAAAAAAGAGCTTAAATGAGAATTATTAGGTAGAAAAGGTCTTGCATGAATTTTAAACACATTTATATATAAATATGGTTTGATGGTTTGAAAGAAAAAGGGGATACTGTGATCCACTTTATAACCTTATGGTGATTTATGCGTTTTGTGGTAATTGTTGTATATTGTTGTTGGGGGTCATGTATTTTGTTTATATTTGTAATGTTGACTGTATATATAAATGAGAAATAACAGTCACAAGATTGTATTACTTATGAATCAAAGGGACTGAGGAACAGACGCAAGCTCAAGTATGCGAGTACACAACCCTCACTTCTCAAGCCCGGGAGAAGTTTCCCATTGCTTGACCCTAACTTGGGTTACCATCTATCTTCATCCGGCTGGAGTCATCACTACACGCAATATGGCCTGAAGACCAGGTAAATATCTTCAGTAAACATAGCAGGCCACCTAAACCCCCTCACACACACACTATTCACCCGAGTCGCCCAGATGAGGACTTGCTACATACAATCTTCACTACACAATCTTCCTCTGGTTGAGAAGACTCGCCATTTATGACCTTCGCTCCAAGTGAAACTCGTCTGTGACGAGTTTTTTCCTCACTGGTGTTGGCTACCCTCTCAGGGGGGCCCTGGATCCCCGCTTGTTGAGGGCCCCCTCGTGAGCCCCAACCCACGGCCCACCAAGACAAAATTTATCGTATTATGAGGGCCCACCCTGAAGCCCCCTCGAGACCCCATACAGAGTACCTAGTACCTGGAGCCTTTTCCTCTTCCTGTACGAACACAACCTTGTTAGATTTACCCGAATTTAGTTCAAAAGGTGTTAGAATGTTGGCCCGAAAATACACTACCACGCTCCAGCATACACAGCTTCACATTAATATACAACACTCACAAGCAGTATGCAGTAAAGAAGCAAGCGAGAATGAGAAGTGTGGCAGGAGTATGGCCCGGCAGAGCGTCTGGCTGTTATATACTCCTGCCGGACGGAAGGTGTTGCCAGAATAATGTGGAAGAATATCCTTCTGCGCTGCGTCTTATTTTGAATGATGCCAAAAGAACGTAATCTTTGTGCACGGTTGTGAGTGTACAATGTTTTGGCCGTTGTCCCTGACGGAGCGAGCGGGGCCACGTGATACAAAATGTCTTAGTGGTAATTCCGGCAACTCGACCTCTTACAAGATCTTAAACAGGTTAAAGGCAGCTTTTCTGGAGGGAATACGACAACATTATTAAATATCAAAATACAGTATAATGAGGTCTTTTTACAACAAGACAAACCTCTGTCATCCCGAAGAAAAGTAATTCCCGGTTATTAGTTAAGGAACTTTAGATACCTTAATAATTATTAAAGTCACACTTGATAATATTGTTGAAGATTCAGAATTTTCCTGTTAATTTCTATGATTCGTGAGAGCACGGTTGTGTGCTGTCTGGCTCCTGGGGACACACTGAGAGCACTTGGGTACCGTCTCTCAGCTCTCTACCTGGAGCTGCGCACGCGCACGCACAAACATGCTCCAGCACACTCAAGTGGACCTTACCAAACCAGTTTGTCATTCGCCATTTTCCTCCATTGCCTCTCATAGCCCCATTTACCCAGCGATACCCACCCATCACCCTTCCAACCATTAGCCAGGATGCTACTACTACTGATGCCCTGCTATATGGTAGGGCATCAGAAGCGCCCAACAAATACTCAACTGAGAATGGAGTTTCAAAGTCTATATCGAGACCTTAGTCACTTTAATCCAGAGTCAATTCACAAGTTATATTTCAGGGTAAAGAATACTTGGTGGTGGGTCAGTAAGCCGTCACTCGGCCTTATTAACCCTCCAGAAGATTGGTCTTAAGCCTATCACTAAGCGACAGTAGTGTAGTTGTCACTGATATATAGACAGGACTAATTCCTTATAGTTCGTCCCTACTTCAGCATGTTTAGATATGTCCTATATATTCGTTTTATAGCTGGATCACCGCAGCTTGGGGACTGTTGTGGTTCAGTTCTTGAACCAATTTTTGCTATAAAACTGTCTAAATAGATATGGTAAGCGGTGTAACTAGCTTATTACGCTTTCAACTTTTGAATGTGGTAGGGTTCAGTTCCAGAGTCACTTAATAATTCATTGTGCTTACCTATCATTATGTGCCTCTAACCTTTTCCACTACCGCCCACGGGATGGGTATGGGGGTGTATAATGAATGAACAAAATCAATCAAAGTTGTCAAGGTTCACTAGCAAAACTGTGGCTGTAATTCAGTGCTGTTGGACGTTAAGGGATGACTGATCAAATGTGTGAGTGATCTAGCGTGTCCACAGAAAATGAGAAATTCAAGAGGCAGGGGTAACTATACCACACCCGTTGACGTACTTTAATTCAAAACAATAATTCGTTTTGTTGGGGAGAGACAGCCAGTGTACATATACATCTTAGGCTCATATCGAGGTTTTCCTCCAGGGTCGAACTACTGACCATTTTCAGGATGCAACCCTGCAACAAGCTGAATAACGCCCGGATAACTATTTACCGATTGGTGAACAAGGCCATTAGGTGATGGTGAGACGCGCCCAACCCTATCTGTCCCATCAGGGACTCTATCTCAGTATGCCAAATTGTGAGTCAAGAACGAACCCGACTGAATATTTAGTCGTTCGTGTGTTTACCAGCTTGAAGTAGCCAGTCTCTTACGGCCAAGTGCTCGCTAATACGTCTATTTACTCAGCCAAAAGTTTAAGAACAGAGCCTTAAGCATTTTTTTTTTCGTGCAAAACACTTGTCGCGAGCGACTCTTCCTGGACCCATTACACGAGTACCTTGCCCCACCGCCCCCAGGATGGGTTTACCGGCACACAGTAACCTGGTAAACTATCCATTATTTGTAATTATTCACGTAAAAATATATATAGCAGCTTAAGATTATTGAACGGTCACTCAAAGACGTATTTCTGGATCATGCGGTATAATTTGCTTCGCTCTCTGCTTACAATCAAGGATTCGGGATTCTTTTCCCGACCGGGACAGAAATGTTGGCCACGTTTCCTTTCATCTAATGCCACTATTCACCTAGCAATAAATAGATACCTGGAGTTAGGCAACTGTTGTGGTGTTGTAGTAGTTCGACCTTGGGGTGTAAGGGACGTCCAAACAAGCCTAAATTATATGTATATCCTCAGGCTTCCATCCGATGAAACAAATTATTTTGGCATTATATTTAAGGCGGGAATCACAGATCAATATTCATTCATTTTCTCTGAAGGTACAATTTAGTATCGAACTATACAAAGTCACAGTAAAAATATAACTATGTCAGTAAATACACGTCAGGTCTTTTCGTACATGCGCTTCTGACGCCTGTTCATGATTATTGGCTAATTTATCAACATTTCACGAGACATAATAATAATAAAGGTATCTTAGCCATTAACAAGCTGAAGGAGGAATGAAAGTGAAGATAATATTATAATTGAAACAATGGCAACGAAATTACAACAGTTCATCCTCCTTTGGCGAGCGTAATATGTAACCTAGATAGGAACCAGCCGTGTTGGAGGAACGGCCCTGTCATCCGTGTCTAAGGCCAGGAGAGCTCACACGACCGACAAACCTTTAGCCGAGGGCCTTTTGTTGGGAGTAAACTATCAATTGAGAGAGAGAGAGAGAGAGAGAGAGAGAGAGAGAGAGAGAGAGAGAGAGAGAGAGAGAGAGAGAGAGAGAGAGAGAGAGAGAGAGAGAGAGAGAGAGAGAGAGAGAGAGAGAGAGAGAGAGAGAGAGAGAGAGAGAGAGAGAGAGAGAGAGAGAGAGAGAGAGAGAGAGAGAGAGAGAGAGAGAGAGAGAGAGAGAGAGAGAGAGAGAGAGAGAGAGAGAGAGAGAGAGAGAGAGAGAGAGAGAGAGAGAGAGAGAGAGAGAGAGAGAGAGAGAGAGAGAGAGAGAGAGAGAGAGAGAGAGAGAGAGAGAGAGAGAGAGAGAGAGAGAGAGAGAGAGAGAGAGAGAGAGAGAGAGAGAGAGAGAGAGAGAGAGAGAGAGAGAGAGAGAGAGAGAGAGAGAGAGAGAGAGAGAGAGAGAGAGAGAGAGAGAGAGAGAGAGAGAGAGAGAGAGAGGAGAGAGAGAGAGAGAGAGGAGAGAGAGAGAGGAGAGAGAGAGAGAGAGAGAGAGAGAGAGAGAGAGAGAGAGAGAGAGAGAGAGAGAGAGAGAGAGGAGAGAGAGAGAGAGAGAGAGAGAGAGAGAGAGAGAGAGAGAGAGAGAGAGAGAGAGAGAGAGAGAGAGAGAGAGAGAGAGAGAGAGAGAGAGAGAGAGAGAGAGAGAGAGAGAGAGAGAGAGAGAAGAGAGAGAATGAGTGTGTGTGTTATCAAAGCCACAATAGCTTATTTAACAACCCAGCAGGAATAGTTTAGTCTTGAACATCACTGAAAACTAAAGTTAACTCAGTGTAAAGATATAAACGGAACGGCTCTCAGTATACTTGCCAGTGTAAAGCATCGCCAGGCCGGTCATGTAGCAACAGCAGGGGCTGGGTGACGGCTGCGGTTCCGGTTTATGACAAGCAGAGGTCAACATGACAAATTTATGTAGCTGATACAATGTGTATTGCTGATGTAAATGATGCAATGTGTGTCGATGAAGCAATAGATGCAACGGGAAATGCGTAGTGACAATATTTGCAATAAGAGCTTTCCCTTCCCATAGGTCATGACGGCTCTATATTAGTTCCTCCCCCTCACACACAACCCGTCAATCTGTTTACAACCAGGTCACCCAATTGCTCTCGTTCTCATGAATATATAGCAAACTCATCTGACTCCCGATTCGTCACTGTCCTACTTCATCAGAGAGTCAGAGAGCAGCGGCGGCTGGTACAATATTCAGCGACTAACTCATACAGTTATTCACAGCGAGACCACCATAACACAACACAGTCTCGTTTCCTCACTCACTCACTCATCAACCCGTCCTCCAACCCGTCCTCCAACCCGCACACGAGGCTGTTTAAAGCAGCGGCCGTCCTCCCCCGATGCATTCATCAATTTTAACATACAATGTATTAAAAACTGGTTTGTTCTCATATATAAGTTAATATTATTATACATAAAAATTCTATATATAGTTAGGCTCAGGTTAGGTTAAGTGTTTAAGTTCTGTTGGTGATTATTTGTATTTGAAGTCCGTGGGTGAAGCATTTATACAACCCGTCCTCGACTCAAGTCCATTACATTCAGCGGTCAACCCCACAGACGCATTCATAAATTTTAACATGCTGTTCATTCAAAACGGGAATTTTCGCAAGTATAAATTAATATTATAATATATTAGCATATTGTGTATATATAGGCATAGGATAGGTTAGGTGTTTAGGTTCTGTTGGCGATTATTTGTATTTGTAGTACGTGGGTGAAGCATTTATAGCGTTGTGATTCGAACAAAATTCGTCAGTGAAGCACTTGTTCCGGATATGTTCGAACGTCAGCAGTTGTGAGTCGTGTGTAAATCGTTTTTCATTCATAAACAGGGGGTTTGGCGGGTGCATGGAATCACTTTTGGATCTTTGTTTGGAGGACGGGCTGATTTATAGGATTGTGGTTCGAACAGAGGACGTGAGCGAAGCACTTGTTCCGGAAGTGTTCGGACGTCATCAGTTGTGAGTCGTGTTTAAGCCGCTTTTCATTCATAAACAGGGGGTTTGGCAGCTGGATTAACGAGCTTGGATATTTGTATTCTCTCTCTCTCATTTCCATTGTCTTTCTCTCATTCCCAGTCTCTTTCTCTCTCTCTCTCTCTCTCTCTCTCTCTCTCTCTCTCACCACTCACAGATATCTGGACCTTCGCTACAGCCGCTCCGTGGGACATGTGACGCCACCAACTTTTACATTATGTTATAATCTAACCCTAAAATTAATAACACGGCCACACTTTTATTTGTAATGATATTCTGTATATCTACGAGAACATTGCTCATATTTTTTCAATAATATTGGTGTTAAGGACGATGGTTGTCATATAAATTGATTTTGCTTTCTTAGAGCGCTATAATAGCAGACATTTGCACAGTGTTGTTTGATATTACCGACTTAAAGAAACGGATTTGGCGTCGTCTAAGGAGAACCTGGCATCAGGGCCGAGGTTAACTCGTCAGCCAGTCACCAGTGACATTTCTGCTGGTAAATAGGACTTGGAAGATGATACATTAAGAGCAGCAGTTTGAGCTACCAAACCTTGGGTGAAGGACTCAAGTCGTGGATAATCTCGTAGGACAATGATGGGCGTTCCCATGCTGATAAGGGAGTGAAAGGTTTTGATATAACAGTGACCCGGGTCCGTGTACAGAGTAATGTCCCACTCGGTGACTCGTGGGGAGGACACTGACACAGAGGAGGAGGTGAAAGAGGCTCCTGTCCTAAGTCCAGCAGCGGCGTCCGGGTTATGAGTGTCCATAAAAAGATTCCATGTAATTCGGAGCAAAAACCAGGTGGACGGTAGATGATCAGAGATCCAGAAGAA